AAATAAAGGGCACAATAAAGGTGAGACTAACCTAATGAAAACAATCTGTACCAGAGCAAGGATGCACAGTAAATAATTGATTTCAGCAACAGTATTGGTGGGTGCTAAAACCATTAGAGGACTGATTGGGGGAATTTTACATTGGAAGGATCGCCTGTAGATTTTAATCAATCTCAGATCATGTATTGTGGGACAGCTATAATTATGTCTCCTAATGTGATGCAATTTGAACTACACGATATTTAGGAAGTAGTGTATTTTTGTCCAAAAATTGTTGAATCTAGGGTGCCTGGGTGGCTCAGTCGGTTGAGTGTCAGACTCAATTTTGGCTCAGGTCATGATCCCATGGGTCATGAGATCAAACCTGAGTCAGTGTGGAGCCCACTTGGGATTCTCTCTCTCTGCCCCGCTGCTTACACTCTCTCTTTCTTTCAAAATAAACATTTTTAAAAAGTTGAATCTGAATCCAATCAAGCTTTCGTCTCTTAACTTCCAGTTTATAGGAAATAATGAGAAATGACACTGCAAGAAAGCAAACCAACAAGTCCAGAATGTGGGCCAATGTACAGACAAATGACCCCATTTCTTCAATTTCAGAGTATTAAAAAAAAAAAGTGAGGTGTTCTAGATTGTAAGAGACATCAAATGCAATCAGTGGACTTCGGAGTCAAGCAACCCGACTGTAAAAGATATTTTTGAGACAATGGAGAAATCTGAATATGGACTGGGGACATTAAGAACAAAGACAGATGTGAGGGCACCTGGGTGGCTCAGTCGATTATTCGCTCAGGTCATGATCTCACAGTTCGTGGGTTCGAACCCCACATTGGGCTCTGTGCTGACAGCTCAGAGCCTAGAGCCTGCTTGGGATTCTGTCTACCTCTCTCTGCCCCTCACTCACTCACGCTCTGTCTCTCTCTGTCTCTGTCTCTCTCAAAAATAATTTTTTTTTAAAAGAACAAAGACAGATGTTAAGAAACCATTATTGGGGTGCCTGGGTGTCTCTGTTGGTTAAGAGTCTGACTTCGCTCAGGTCATGATCTTGTGAGTTCAAGCCCCCTCTACTGGGTTTTGAGCTGACAGCAAGGAACCTGCTTGGGATTCTCTTTTTCTCTCCCTCTCTCTCTCTCTCAAATAAACAAAAAATGAAAATAAAAAGAAGAAATCATTATTAATTTTATTACTGCAGTTAACTGAATGGTGCCCCCCTCAAAAAAGATATATCCACATCCTAATTCCACAAACCTGTAAATATTATATGGCAAAAGTATTTTAGGAGGATTAAGGAATTTTTCTGGATTATCTGAGAGGCCCTAAATCCCTTAACAAGTGGCCTTCATGGGACAGAGGGAGATGTGACAGACACAGAGAAGACATAGAAAAAAGGAGGAGACGATGTGACCAAGGAGGCAGAGATTGGAGTGATGTGGATACAAGCCAAGGAATGCCTGGAGCCATCAGGAGGTGGAAGAGGTGAGAAATGGATTCTTCGATAGGGCCTTCTGAGAGAATGAGGTCCTTAGGACAGCATGATTTCAGACTTCTGGCCTCCAGAACTGTGAAAGAGTAAATTTCTCTTGTTTTTAAGCCACTAAATTTGAGGTACTTTATTGTGGTTGCCACAGGATACTTTGATATTTTGATTATGTAAGGAAATATCCTTATTTTTTAGGGTGCCTATGTGGCTCAGTCGGTTAAGCATCCAACTCTTGATTTAGGCTCAGGTCATGATATCATGGTGGTTCGTGAATTCAAGACCCCATGTCGGGCTCTGTGCTGACAGCTCAGAACCTGGAATCTGCTTTGGAATCTGTGTCTCCCTCTCTCTCTGACCCTTCCTGGTTTGTGCTTTGTCTCTTTCTCTCTCTCTCAAAAATAAACATTATAAAAACATTTTTTTAATGGAATGAGTAGAACCAGTGTGGCAAATTGTTTATAAGAGCCGAATCTGCGGGACTGGAGTTTGGGAGCTTATTATGCTATTCTATTTTTATGTTTGAAAATGTAAAACCCTCTCCCACTAAAAGAATTAAAACACACATGCACTCATACATATGCAAAATGAAATACGGGCACAAACCTTCCAGACATTCTGTGAATTCCAGGCACTTCTCACACCATTCACTTCAAATCCTCTCAGCACTTTATGCAACGATATAAAATGATATAAGATTGTTTACAGATTTCTAATCCCCTAGATTATATGGTCCCAAGGATGGAAACACATTTTCTTATTATGCTTCCTCATAAAACAATTAACTATAGCTTTATGTGATAGCCTAAAAAGTCTGTATATTTAATTTCTCTACATCAAGTTTTTAATATTCCAGACAATTATGATATCTCTATCTAGTACTTAATGAATTATCTGGGGGAGGGGGGTAGGAATAATCCTTTCCTAAAGAAGAATTCTTTCCTCAGGTAATTCTTCCTAGTTTATCTTTTAAGGGGGGGGGGGGATCTAGATTTTAAAACACAGTAGTTATTTGTCTAAATCCAGACAAGTCTTAGTGAAGTACTGTGGTTTTGTGAATTTCTTTGTTCTTGCTTTTTAATTTTTTTTTTTTTTTTTGAGAGAGAGCTCAAATTGGGAAGAAGGGCAGAGGGAGAGAGAATCTTAAGCAGGCTCCGTATTCAGCACAGAGATCCCAGATCCTGGGATCATGACCTGAGCTGAAATCAAGAGTTGGATGCTCAACAACTGAGCCAGCCAGGTGCCCCAGCTGTGGCATTGTTAAAAACAAAAACAGAAGTTCTGATCTGTTAAACATCAAAGTACTGTAGGTAACATCATATGTTTCCCAAGGTGTGTTTTTAAATACTCGAATAGAAAAAGAATAGATACAGTAGCTGTTGGAACAGTAATAGAGTTCACGGAACTAATGTCTTTACTTTTATGCTTAAAAATTTCCAACTAGTAGACTTAATATGTTCACAACTGAACTTGAATTCTCCCACCCACCACCATTCCACAAAAAGCCTCTCCCATTTTAGTTAATGGCAATTCCATTCTTCCAATTGCTTAGGCCAAAAACCTTGGAGTCATATCCTGGTCTGCTTTCCTTTGTTCCCACCCCCACATCAAATCAGTTAAGACATCTTTTTTGTTTCATGTTCAAAATATATTCAAAATCTGACTACTTTTCACCATTCCATTGGTACCACCGCAGCCTCCTAAGCCCTCACCCTGCTTCCCAGCCTTCTCCACTCCTCACAGTCCATGTACAATCCCAGAATGGAGAGTAATCTTTCGGAACATAAGGTAGATTACATCACTTCTGCCAAAACTCTCCAATACATCCCTACTTTACTCAAAGCACAAAGTCTACTACAGGCTTACATCTGGTCCCCACTATCTTCCTGTCCTCATTTCCTATTCTCCCCCTTCTTCACTTCTGCCATCCAAACTGGCCTCATCATACCTCCTCAAGCCCACCAGGCATGTTTCCAATCTAAGGCCTCTGAAGTGATTATTCTCTGTGCCCAGGATTTGCCCTCAGACAGCTACACTGCTCACTCCCTCATCTCCATCAAGTCTTTGCTCAAAGGTAATCCCAGTGACGCCTACCCTAACCTCCAACTCAGTACTCCTCATCCTTTGTTTCATTATTCTCTAGAGCTTTTATCACCTCTCTATATGCTATACAGAATTCACTTATTTTACTAAGTTCATTGTCTCCACAACTAGAAAGGCAACTCTATGACGAACAAGCGCCTGCTTTATCCCCAGTGCCTACAACAGTACCTGGCACAAAGAACTGCCACAATCTGGATAGGAGAAAATTCTAATGGTCTCTAGAAAATAAAAGTGTTATTTTTGCTAAAATATAAACACAGATGGTGGACAATGAAGATGAAGGCTAAATAAAATTCCTTATAAAACCAAGGCACTTTATTCATCTTTCATTTCAAAAACAATTGGAATTTAAGGAGGGACAAAAAGTAAGATCCCTACTTTATGGATGGAGAAACCAAGGCTCCGGGGCGCTTGTCGCAAGCCCTCCAGTGAGCCAGGGTTGGAGCTTTGTAGTATGTTTCCAGCTGGATCACAGCTCTAATGGGTCTGCCAACCATCTCTTGCTAGTGAAATGCACAATGTCCTAAACAGCTGCCCTTCTCAAGCAACTGGGCTTCCTTATACATTGAAGTGCCATCAAACATCAAAACTCATCACTAAGGCTGAGATCACAAAGCAATCCAATGTACTGCTGTGTTTAATCCTATCCCTCCCTATTTCAGCTCCACTGGTCCTGGCTTGGAAATATGTGACCACACATAGCTCATCTGGGATGGAGGAAGCTGGAAGGCAGGAAAAGATACAAATAAGCTCCCAAACCAGAATCTTGTGTGAACAACACACAAGAGCTGCCGGCACCGAACAGCAGCTGAGAGAGGGGCTGAGCCCCCAAGCTCTTACCCTTGGCATCTCCAAGTAAGGTGAGGTATACCTTTTACTACAAGAGTTTACAGAGGAAAGATGGGTGGATAGGAGGGAGGAAGGAAGGAAGCAAGGAAGGAAAGAAGGAAAGAAGGGAGGGAGGGAGAGAAGGAAAGAAAGAAGGAAAAAGAAAGAACAGACAGACAAGAAAGACTGAAAGAAGGTCAGAAAGGAAGAAGAATGGAGAATAGAGGAGGGGAGGGGAGCAGAAGGAAGGGAAAAAAGGAAAAAGACGATGACTCTCTATCCTAACCCATGGATGGGAATATGGGCTGTGGGTCAGGAAACCATCCACAGCAGCATTTGTCCCCACAGTCTAGAGCTGAGACAGGCTGTCTTCGTCACTGTCTTAGGGCCAGTGCACAAAAGCAAGAAGGTGTAGGGAGGGTTATACGAGCTCTAGTACATACGCTGCCGATGCGAGCACGGATTATACGCGCTCTAAGAAGGAAGAGCTCTCTCAGGTAGAAGGTAGCTCCCTGAGGTCTGGGAGGCATGTTCCTGGGGTTTAAGGCACATTATTGGAGAAAGACCCCTGGGTATAGAAAAGGAAGGAATCTTCTCTGGCACCAACAGCAACAAAGTTTACTGATTGAAATCATCCTGGATCTGGGGGGAGGAGGGAGCTTTATACATAAATCTCTTCTAGTTTCTGGTTCTTAAATCATTTGACTCGTAGCTTATCTCTTCTTTTTTTAGTATCTTTAGCTCTCGGTCGAATTGGTGGCTTGAACAGTAGAAAAAGGGACAGGTTGGCAATAGGGGGCAACGAAGGTGGGTGGATGGACTGCAGGAATCTGAGATCATGTGCTGTGGGGTGGCCTCAGGAGATGAATGAGTTTCCTGCAGTGTTTGGCAGAGGCAGGCCTGGGGCTGCTGGGCGGCAGTAGCTGATTCCCCAGAGAGAGCACGGCTAATCGCTCGCTGGCCCCCAGGGACACCAGCACCTGTGGGACAGAGAGCAGATGACAGAACACGACATGCAGAGGACTCTCATTTGGCCCAGCATTTCCCACTCTACAAAAGAAAGAAAAAGAAAATGCGCTCTTAGGGACTCAATATAGATTGTGCGGGGAAAGAGAAACTTTGGAGACAGGACTTATCGGGACCAGAGGTCTACTGCCATTCTCCTCGGTTACACACCATCAAACTGAGGCCCCAAGGGATCCTTGCATTTGTCCCGGAAAGAGGTAATAAGTGCAGCAGTGACAGTAAGTCAGAAAGTGTGATTCCTAGTCATGGATCTTGACTAATGGGTCTTCACCTAAGTACCACCAAGAGTCTCTTTTATTATTTCCCCACATGGATTGCCAGAAAAATCCTATAATTTACATCATCATCTGTTCTGCATAAACCATCCAATGCTACCACACTGCTTTATTATAATGCGGAGGTTTAGCCTTATCACAGGTAAATGTGTGATTCCCATTAGGCTACTTATGTACCAAGCAGAAAAAGCAGAATAAAGCAGTGGTGAAGGTATAGGCTCAGGACTCAGAAGTGCAGTCCCCCAAACTAGCTTTCTAACTTGGGCAAGTTATTAAATTCTTAGTGCCTCAGTTTCCTCACCTGCAAAATGAGGAAATGGCCTAAACCAGGTAATAAAGGTAAAATGCTTTCATGTGATAAGTGCTTAAAAAAAAAAAAAAAGCTCCTTCCCAGCTCCCAGAATGAAATCTCTCTAGACCTCAACACTGACTAGGGCCTCACTTCCTTCCCACACAGCCTCAAGAAGAGAGAAACCCTGGGCCTTGAGATCCGGGGAATTTGCCACTCATCGGAACCCTCTCCCATAGTCCTTCCTTCTCCAGGATGGGAGATGGTCGAAGGCACACTCATCTCCAAGACACTGCCCACGGGTTTCCTAGTGTCCCAGTTCCTTAAAGGCTATCTCAGAAAAATACAACCCCATCGTCATGGTCCAGAAGTCCCCAGAGGGTGTACCTGATGGATGCAGGGCTCCTGCCGGAGGCTCCGGAGGGCAATGAGGGCGGCCTCCTTCACATTTAGCTGGGGGTCTCCGCACGCCATCTCTAGGAGCCGTTGGGGTACTTGGCACTGTAACAGCTCCTCCCCCAGCCCCTCGGGGCCCAAGTTGCCCAGAGCTGACGCGGCATTGCGCCGGATACCAGCCTGAGGATCTCCAAGCAGCTGGGTCATACCGGGTATTGCAGCTGCCAAGGCAGGTCCCAGGGGACCAGCTTGGTAGGCTGCATTGCCCACTGCAAAGCTGGCCCCGCGCCGCACAGCAGGGTCCTTGTCTCCAAGCCCCCGCAGCAGAAGGCTGAGCAGCCCAGCCTGGCTCTGCAGCGCCCCACGCACAGCCATGCTGTGTTGCAGCAAGTGGCCCAGGAGCCCGTACATGCGGGCCCGCACAGAATTCTCGGGGTGGCCCAGGAGGCTGCGCAGGGGCCGATAGGATTCATCAGCGCCGGCCAGGAGTTCCTGGATGAAGGACGAGTGGCTGGGAGACAGTACCCGGGCTGTGTGGGCCAGCAGGGAGAGAATGTCGGAGGTCAGCAGTGGCTGGTCACTCGAGAGGGCAACTGAGAGGAAGGAGATGATGGTTCTGGGGGAGGCAGCCACTGTGTTCACAAACTGGTTAAGAGACGTGGAATCCATGAGGGCCAGGCATGTGAGGAGGCTGACAGGCAACTCAACTTGCGTCAACGGAAGATGGTGGCAGCAGACCTGGGAGAAGCAGGGAGGAGAACAGGCAAAGTGGTTCAGGGAGAGGGAGAACTGACTGCAGCAAGGTAGCTAGAAGGGGCCCCAGCTCTGGCTGAGAGAAAAGCCAAGCTATGCTGAGAAATACCACAGAGAGCTGGAACGCCTGCCCCAAGCCCTCCACATGAGGCTGTGGAGCCCAGGGGAACAGGTACAGGATCATTCCTTGCTCTGCAAGGACTCAGGCTCTCTGCCTTCAATGCCAAGGACTGCAGAGAAGTGACTCCTGGCTGAGGAGCTGAGTTCCCATGCCCAGACTGCGATGTCCTCCCCACAGAGCTCCAACAGATCCAGATGAGGGACTGATGCAGACGGGAGGCGCCAGGCCCAGCTCCAACCAGTGGGGACTGCTCAGGCCTGAATGCTTTGCTTTCTCCACTCCAATGCTTACATCAAGCCAGACGCTCCACTCTTGCAGGGGCCCCAGGGAGCCCTGGAGCTGTTGGGAAGTGAATTATAACACACAAGGTCGGCCATCTTCCTCCTCCACCTTCACGCCTGGTAGTTTTCCCAAATACCTGCAGCAGGTGAGCCGTGACTTCTGAGTCCACAAAGTCAGCCAACACACCCCCAAGGAGGTCGGCATCCACATCCAGGGCGAAGGGGAAGCAGAGGAGCTGGCAGACAGAGAGCACCACGACGGGCAGAAACTCGGGCCCGTGAGGCCTAAGAAGGGCAGCGTGGAAGGATTTACTCAGTCTTACTCACTCACCCTTTATCATTCTCCACCCCCTTCTCAAATCCCCCAGTCCATCCCAGCTTCCCCAGCCTCACCAGTCCCATTTCTGGGCCCATAGCTCAAGCTGTCAGCTACTGCTCTCCTGCCGACCCCTTCCCACCCCCCACTGCAGACTTGTCTGGACTGTCTGGGCTCCCTCCTCAAGCTTGAACTCACGCCTGGCCCAGCTGATGCAGGAAGCTGGGGGAAAGCAGATGTTTCAGTGTGGACATGAGGATACTTCCACGTTGAGACAGGTGGCTCAGGCATAACTGCGGCTCCTGGGTGAAGGTGGTCACGGCCAGGCTCAGCAGGGCTGCCATGCCTAGAAACACCGAGAATGGAGACCCAGTGGTGCAGGAAGGGGCCCAGATGCTCCAGCTTCTCCAGGGCCCCCACCTATTTAGTCCCTTTCCCATCCAGACTAGACTGTGCCATCTCTCCCCGGGTGGCAGCAGCTGCAGTCGCTGTGGGCTAACCCAGTTCTAGGCCGCCTCCTATGAGAAGGGATCAAAGGAGGCCATGCTGATGGAAAGATACCTTGGGGTGAGATCAGCGTCCAGTCTGGCTCTGGGCTTTGTGGACTGGACAGCGACAGCTCTTCCTGTGAAGACACCTCCTCGGGGAGTCTTAGAGCCATGGAGAAGCGGTGCCACAGAACGGTCCACATTTCCGAGTTCGCCACGTCCCTTATCAGGCTACCCTTCCCCGGCTGGAGATGAAATTGAAAGGGGCGCCTGGGTGGCTCAGTCAGTTAAGCATCCAACTTCAGCTCAGGTCATGATCTCATGTTTGTGGGTTTGAGCCCCACATCGAGCTCTGTGCTGAGGGCTCAGAGCCTGTTTCAGATTCTGTGTCTCCCTCTCTGTCTGCCCCTTCCCCACTCATGCTCTGTCTCTCAAAAACTGAATAAATGTTAAAAAATTTAAAAAAAAAAAAGAAATTAAAGGAGGGTGGTAAGGGAGGTCAAAGTCAGGTCTCAAAATGCCTTTTTCTTTCTTTCTTTTTTTTCCCCACTCTTACCCTTGACCTCTACAGAAAGGGAGTCCCAGAAATAATTCCTGTTTTCTCAACAACCTGGGTTTTCCCTGTTGTCTTAGGTGCCTTTCTTATCACATCTTAACCCACGCAAGTGTCTGCTGGAAGCCAGGGAATTACAGCTCTCTTCCCCACTGAATCCTGAGGGATGCAGCTGTGATTCCCCAGAAAGGGTCTATGCTGAGAGCAGGGGGGGCCTGTTCGAAGGCTGTCACAGCCACCATATTTGACAGAAGAGGCAGGTAGGGGTTGCTTCTTCATTCTTATTGTCTAGCGGTTCATCAAAATGCCTAGTTTCTCTCTCCTGCCTCCCCAACTGACCTCAGATCACCTGTACCTGGGTGAGGAGCTGCAGCAGCAAGATGAGGAGGCCATCATAGAATCCAGAGCCACTTGGTGGAGTCAGCCGCACCTGCCGGAGAGAGGCAGGAAGAATGCAGATGCCCGAGAGAGAGGAGGGGGCCCCACCAACCCATGCCCACAACTCCTGGTCAGGCAGAAAGAGCTTGTCCTCAGCCTGGTGTAGTGGGGAGAGCTCTCCTGGACTTACACACGAGTCCTGGCTCCTGACTATTCATTCAATGACTACCTCTGCTCTAAAGACACATTGTCTGTTGGGTCGGAAGACACTTGCTAGACAAGAGACTGGGGATGGCGACATGGTTAAGAGCACCTAACCTGCCTTCTAGAGGTAGAACACCGATGAATTAAAAGTTCAAAAGGCAGTCAAGAGAAGGAGGTTGTAGGAAGGGACAGCATTCCTCATAGCATAAATAAAGGCAGGTCATGAAAACTGATTAGTGGAGCTTGGAAGTGGTAACTCCTGGTATAGCAGGATTATAGAGCACGGAGGTAACAGATGAGCTTTGAGGAGAAGATAATGAGTTTGGACTTTATCCCAGAAGCAGTAGGAAGCCACTGAGCCCCATAAACTCCCCGGGGGCAAGATCTTCATCTCTGTGATTCACTGCTGTAGTCTCAGAACCCTGGTACTCAATAGTGTTCAGTACTCAATAGATATTTCTGTGCTACATACTTATGGGTTGAACAAATGACTAGACTGTTAAGAAGGCTCTCCCTGGTGGTAGTGAAGAGAATGGGCTGGAGAGGAGAGAGCCTAGAATAGAGATCCTTCAGTGGGCAAGTGCCACAGTGCAAGATAGATGGTGCACACGCAAACTAAGGCAGGGCAGTGATGGTGCCAAGTAGAATATCTGAGAAATTCCAGGAAGGCGGAACACATGGGGCCTGGGGGGAGCCGTCTGGGAATAATGGAGCATAGGACATGGTCTATGATGACTCCCAGATTTCTGACTGGGGCCTCCCAGATGAATGTGAGTGTTATCATTACCAGTACCACCTCTCTGAAGTTCAACTTTATCTAGAAAAAGCAGATGAGTCTCATTACATTTCATGCATCTGTCTTTCAAGTGTGCTAGGAGATAAAATATGAAGTGCTTTCCAAATTATGAAGAATTCTGCATCTATAAGGATGACGATCATTTGAATATGATGTCTACCCTTCTTATTCCAAAATGAGAGAAATAACGGTGCCATAGTATCTAAAAAGGGGGGAGGGGGGAAGGCCCAGAAGAGGAGAAAACAGAAAGGAGGCTATACAATGGACTGGATTCCTCAAGAGTCCTCAGGATGCTAGCCACCTTTTCCATCTCAGTTAAGAAGAAGTGGGGGGACACGGAGGGTGAACTACAGTCGGAGAGGAAGAGATTAAGCTTATGAAATGACCCGAACAACAGGAACAGGAGCTTCTGGGGGAGGGACTTAAGTAGGCAGGAAGATCTCACCCTCGAGTAGGTAACTCGGGTCCCCCTCCCTCTGTCCCTCTTTGGAAGTGCCTGCCCAGTCTGGGCTCAGAGAAGTTGTCACCAGGGGGCGGACAGGGAAGGAAAGGAAAGACTCTGTCTCTTTCCCACTCCTTAGTTTGCCCCAGGCATGCTGGCGCTTCAGTCTCCACCCCCCCCCCCCCCCCCCCCCCCCCACCCATACCCAGTAGAGTCCTGGGTCTGACTCAGAGAAATGTTGTCTGTGTCCTCTGTGGTGTACCTCACCTCTGCAGGGGCAGACAGAGCATGTGAGGCTGCAGCAATCCACTTCGCAGGCTGGAGGTTAAAGGTCACCCCTTGCTGACCAAGTTGACCCAACAGGCAGGCTGCTGCACTCTGTGGGGAGTTAGAGGAAGAGAAGAATGTCTAAATCTGCACAGTGGTCACGACAGGCAGAGAAGATTTATGTCTCTGGCCCAGAGGAATGCCTCATAACCAGCTCCTGATGAGACCGTGACGCCTGTGCTCCCTGCAGGCCTGGGTGGCAGGGTGAAAAGGGGAAGAAGGAGAAAGTTGAAAACTCACCACGAGAGAGACGATGTGTGAATGGGTAAAGAGAGTAGCAGTCTCATTGCCTAGCTTCTCCATTCTGGAAAAAGGAGATACATCAAAGGGTGTGGCCAAATGAAAGGAGGCTGAGGAGTGGCCTCCCACCTCGTGACCGTTGAACCAAGGCACAAAGGTGGTGGGAATCTAGGTCTGTTCTGTTCTTTGTAGAGAACATGTCACCCTCTCTATCCCTATCCGTTCTGAGGATAGGCTGTAAGGTGCCATTCCCCATATTCTCCGTCAGGGTGAGCTATCGGGAGGGAAGGTTCCAGTGGAGAGATGCTACTTTATGGCTTACCCAGAAGGCAGATCTTGCAGCCGCAGGACAAGAAGGGAGAGGAGGTAGAGTGCCACCTCAGTAGACTCTTCCCAGTCTACTACCTTTACCTACAAAGGAAACCTAAGATATCAGAGCAACTTCTGATTGAGACAGTAGGGCGACCACGATAACACCTGGCTGTGTTGCTGGCCTACCTTGCCCTGGACCAACATCAACAGTGACTCCAAGGCCAGGGGCTCTTGCCCTAGAAGATGGCACAGGCGCTCACTGACGTGGCAGCATGAGTAGAGAACCTAAGGGAGTGGGAAGCAGTCCGTCAGTGAAGCCGAGCAGCCCCTGGGTTCCCAGATGGGAAGGCTGAGCTGAGAAGCAGGCTATAGCCTCTCCACAGATCTCGTGTCCATACCGGGGCGATTTGAGAAGTTCAGGCCACTTCCGCCTCTTCTTGTTGTAAGACGATGAGATAGGGCTACTGCTCTGTTCTAGTGAGGACTGGCTAACAGTGGGGCCATCTCAGGTTGACAGCAGAAAGGGACCCTCTGGGGTCTCTCGTCTCTCCCAGTGTCTTTCTCTCTTGGTCTTGGGGATTAAAAAGAAACCTGAAGTCCCAAGAGTTCTGGACAGGCAGTACCTTGAGAAGGTGTAAGCACAGGACGGGATGCTGCAAGCCAGATATAAGGGATGGCCTCAGGTGGCTGTTGTCCTCGGTGAGCTGATTCGCCAAATGCCGAGAGATCTGTAGGGACATACCTGAAGCCTCAATCCCATTCCCATATTCCAATCCTATTCTTCTCATACTACTTCCCAACTACTCAGGGTCTCAGCCCCTTGCTAGCCACTCTTCCTCAGATTCACCAGGAACCTCAGACCCCACTCCATTCCCAGTATTCATGGCCAATGAAAAACCGAAAGTCATGGCCTAGTTTAGCCCTAGTAGAGACAGGTATAGAGGAAAGTGTCACTAGCCAAAAGGGGGCAGGAAATCTAAATCCTGAGCCCTTGAAGATGCATCATGGGTGGCTTCGGGTCAGCTACCCTACCGCATGGGCAGCTTGTCCCTGAGCTCTCTAGCCAGCTGGCCAAGGGCTCTGGGATTTTGGCAACATCATGTTCTATAAGTGGCCCAGACCCAGGGTGGAAGCATCTTGTTTCTTCAAGTACAGAGTAAGGGGCAGCATAAATGCATGTTTTTCTGCCTTCCTGAGAAGCTGAGGCCAGCCTCCTCATCTCCAGCAACATGGAGGAGTGGAATAGAAAGCGCAGCTCAGACCTGCTCCTTGGCGTCCCAGCAGCTGGGCAGCCCCACAGGAGCAGTGCATATGGCTGCCAGTGCAGAGGACATGGCTCCAGGCAGGTCCTCACTCTGCTCCCGTGGTGGCTGGCTCACTTGGGGGGCTCCTATGGAGAAAAGCAAAGAATGCAGGATGGGCTCTGATTGTTTCTCTCAGATCCCCATTCATTCTTTCAGTGTACAGTTAGTTACTGAGCACTCACTAAATGCCAGCCACTCTTCAAGGCAATGGCAGTTGGGGAGGGCAGAGTCAGAGTTACTCAGAGGTCAAGAGAACCACTGCTCCCTACTCTGGTTACCTGGCGGTGTGTGGAAAGGGAGCTGAGGAACGGTCAGGCCGTGAAGGAGCCCGTCCAGCACAGCCCGCTGCGTAGTCAGCAGGCTGGAGTAAAAGGCTTTGGAGATGGTCCAGCTGTTTCCATCCATGGCTTCACACAGAACAGTAAAGCACTAAGGGAGACAAGGGTGGCATTAACATTAGGGCAGCAGCAAACTGACTGGGTTTAGGGTAAGGAGCAAGAATCCCGCAGAGAACCTGAGAATAAAGGAGAAAACTTAGGGGGACCAGCTGTGGCATCCTAAGTATTCCTCGCACAGAAAATGCATTATAATTGCCTTCACTCTCCAGGATGGCAATTTTAGGTATCAAGCCTATTCTCTGATCAGCTGCCTCCTAGATGATGTTTCTGAAAGTGTTACCTGTAGTCCATGAGTATGGGAATTCCTGGGGATTCTTGGGTCTCTTCCAACCAGCCCTACTGAATCAGTCCTACTGATTCAGAATTCAGGAGGAGGGGTGTGTATTCTAAACTTCCTATGCACTCAGTGCACAATGACATATGACAAATGCTGGCCAGTAATGTGAGTCACCGATGGCCAAAGTTTAGGTTAGACACTGAAAGCTTCCTGACTTGAAAGGATGAGGGAGGTGAAAGCGGGCTCTCAGACTAGAAAAGTTTGAACGGACTGCTCGCTGGAAGCAGAAATGCAGCCCAGATCCGTGTTCCCAATTGCCAGTCTGAACAATGGCAAGGCAATTGTTTATTTCCTTGCTCATGTTCCTCCCTAAGCGTCTCGTTGGAGATCAGTCAGAACTCAACTATCTTCTCGTCCAATCCTCCATTCTCCCATCCCTCACTTCCAGCGTCCAGGGGCGAGAATCCACTAGTTTGCTAGTAATAGGACAAATAAGTTTGGGAAATACTAAGTCTCTGCAAGTCTCTTTAAGTAGAAATACTTCTACTTGTGGTTCCCTGAAATAGGCCACAGTGCTTAATGCCTCTGGGCCTTTGTCAATGCTGCTCTTTCTGTGTAGAAGGTCCGCCCTACTTTCTGCCTCACCCACCCGGCAAACTTCTATGCATTCTTCAAATCCTAGCAAAGATGATTTCCTTTGAGGTTTCTTCTACGACTCCCCAAGTAGTATTAATCATTATTTTCTTCAGTGGTGCTTCTGTACTTTATACGAGGTTTTATAGAAGTTCTAATGTACTTTCCATGCTATTGTCCTGGATCATTTTTCATCTCTCCTACTAGACTACTAGTCCCTTGACAGTGGGGACTTTCTCGTACTCATGTGGCATATGGCACATAGTCGGTATTCGATAAATGTTTGTTCTATTACCTTGATCTAACCCTGTATAGTTATAAGAAAGGGAAAGGGAGAAACACGGAAAGATATCAGAGACAGAAATCTGGACAAGGGTGCACATTACCATAAGGCTCTCCCTCCTTAAAGTCTGCTCAGAGTCATCTGGTTGGGCCAGAAGTTTCCCCAACAGGTCCAGAAAGAGGTTGGCAGCCTCCTGAAACACCTGCAGGCTGGGAAAAAAATAGCCCCTCTCTCTAAAAGCCCACATGTGGTAAACGTCAATTCTGGGCAGGGAGGAGGATCTGTGCAAAGGAACGCATCAGAATGCTCCCTCCCCTCTCCCCTGCTAAACACACACACAGAGTCTTACACACCCTCCAAGACCTTTCTTTGCCGTTTTCTCTACGTTATTCAAATTGTGACCCTTCCATTTAGTGTATGGTGACCCTTAGGACCTCAAAGTCTTGGGGTGAACTTAGAGTGGTCTCAGGGCCCTTAAGAGGATTAGCTAGACAATCAGGGGATCCCTAACCTATTGGCTTCGCCTTACTTTGCCTCCTTCTAATAGAGTGGGGGAAGAAATAGGAGTAGAAATTGAAGCCACAGTGGCCAACAGAGCAAAACTGGCTCTCATCCCACCTGTCACCTGTCTGGCTCCTCTCCAGATTGAAGGTACAGGCAAAGTAGGCCTGGATCACAGCCATCAGGTCCCGTAAGAAGGTCCCATACCAACATTGCTGCCAGGGAAGAGGACGGAGAATAAGGGCAATGTAGACGAAGAGAAAAAGCAGTGAAAAAGGTGCCAGATATCTAGTCAGGCTGACCAAACAGGGTGGCTTCTGGACATAGAGAGGAAATCTAGGTAACAAAGGGGCAGCCAGAGGGCTGCCAATAGCCCGAAAACCTGTCTTGCTTGGCCGGAATAGTGTTTAGGAGTTTAAGAGGCTCTGTTTCTCAAAATAGCTCAAATTCTTTTCTAAATGCCTTAAAAACACCCCAGGTTAAGATCACCAGCAGGATGCAGCTTCCTGGTAGACATTCCAGTGTCTTGTCCTCTACGCTCAGCCACAGCAGAACAGAGCACGGGCAGGCAGAGCTCTGGCCCCGCACACGCTGAGCCTCACGCCTGCCTCCTCTGCTTCTCCTCCCTCCTCCAGTCTGCGTCCCTGTGGCCACTGACAAGCTCACGCCTGTGTATAAGTTGATTAATCCTGAATTTCAGGACTCTGTACTATACAAGCAGGTCAATTAAAGCCTAGGACTTAATATTCCAAACCACAGGGCTCTCAATATTGGGAAATTGTGCAAAAAATCTGGATTCCTAGCTTCTCATAGAAAACTGGAAGATCTGGCCACGCTGGGCCCATGTCCTCACGGGGCAACAGTGAGCTGAAGCTGAGGGCACGTCCCGCTCAGATTGGACACAAGATCTCCGGTCTATCATATTCCCCATGACTCATACAGTCATACAGAGTCTATCTCACAGACTGACGTAATCTGCCTGGCCTCAGAAGGCAGTGGAATATGCAGCTCATGGTCTACTAACCAGAGAGGAGGGAAGAAAATAAAAGGCAGTGGGCCAAATAGACATGGCACTTTGAAGAAGAGAAACCAAGGAGCAGAAATTCATGTAAGTCTTTCAAGGCTCCTGGCCCAGTGCTCACCTGCTGGATATTGCTGCTCTCCTGACTATGTCTGAGCAGGCTGAGCAGCAGCCCGGGGAGCCCTGCATCGCGACAGAAGGAATACAAGGGAACAGAATCGCTGCAGCTAGACAGAAGACTGCTCAGGACCCGGAGCGCAGGAAGGATGTGGGAAGCCCCCTCCAGCACGCCTTTCAGGATCTGGGTGACACAAGGGAAAGAAACAGTAATCAATATCATCAGAGGGAATAGGAGAGTCACAAATACTAAGTGTCCCCAAGGAGTTGGCAAAGCAGACCAAGTGTTCTCATTCCTTTCTTTGGGACTTTCAAACCCAAAGGAGAAGAGAGAAAAAGGGAACAGCAGCAAGGAAGAGGAATATAGATGGTCAGGTCACCTGACTTACAACTGTGGTAACCAAGGGACAGGGGACCTCCCCTCAGAATCTCTGTCAGGCCCAGGGCCATTCCTATCTGTTCCCTCCCTTCTCCAGCCCTTCACTTTAAAAAATACATGCATGTGCGCACGCACACTTCCGAAGATTAAAAACAATGGACACAAAACAGTGTCATTCAACTCCAGACAGACAAAACAATATTGTCCAACTCTAGATCGGGACTTGACTGACTACGTATGACCTATGGGTCAAATCTAGCCTGCCACTTATTTTCATACAGCCTACAAAACAGAGTCAGTAAGATATTTTAAATGGCTATTCCTTAAAAGGTTACTCTTTAGGGATGCCTGGGTGCCTCAGTCAGTTAAGCTTCTGACTCTTGATTTCGGCTCAGGGCATGATCTCACAGTTTCTTGAGATTGAGCCCCACATCAGGCTCTGTGTCAACAGCACAGAGCTTGCTTGGAATTCTCTCTTTCTTCTCTGTCTGTCCCCCCACCTCAAAAATAAATAAACATTTAAAAAATAATAAAAGGATACTCCTCAAAAGAAAGTAACGTTTATATCAAGTGCTTTATAACATGCTATTCAGTGTTTCTAAATCTTTTCACTTATTTGCTCATTTACTCTTTACAATGACCCTGTGCAGAAAAATATAATTACCCATTTTACAGATGAGAAGACTAAAGCTTCTAGATAGGTTAAGTAAGGAGTCAGCAATCACAGAGCCAAAGAGCAGTTCAGGTGTGCCTGGGTGGCTCAGTTGCTTAAGCGTCCAACTTCGGCTCAGGTCATGATCTCATAGTTCATGGATTCAAACCCCATGTTGGGCTCTGTGCTGACAGCTAGCTCAGAGCCTGAAGACTGTTTCAGATTCTGTACCTCCCTCTCTCTCTGACTCTCCCCTGCTCACGCTGTCTCTCTCTCTCTCTCTCTCAGAAATAAATAAAACATTAAAAAAAAATTTAAAGAGCAGTTCAGATGGGGGTGCCTGGATGGCTCAGCCAGTTGAGTGTCTGACTCTCAATTTTGGCTCAGGTCATCGTCTCACAGTCGGTGAGATGGAGCCCCATATCCGGCTCCAGGCTGACAACGCAGAGGCTGCTTGGGATTCTCTTTCCCTCCATCTTGCTGTGCCCCTCCCCCCATAGTGCTTTTTCTTTTTCTCTCTCTCAAAATAAATAAATAAACATTAAAAAAAAAACTTTCAGATAAAACAAAGGAGGAAATCTTCCAGACATTGCGTTTGGGAAAGACTTCTTCCTTGTAACACCAAAAGCATAATACACAAAAAGAAAAAATGGTAATTGGATGTCATTAAAATTCAAAACCTTTGTGCTTCAAAAGACATTCTCACGAAAATTAAAAAAAAATCATAGACTGGGAAAAAATATTTGCAAACCACATATCTGATAAAGGTCTCCTATCCAGAATATACAAAGAACTCTTAAACTCAAGAAGACAGAACCCAGTTCAAAAATAAGCAGAAGTAAGGAGGAGCTATTTCACCAAAGAAGATATACCAATGGCTAATAAGCACATGAAAAGATGCTCCACATTAGTCAGTAGCAAAATGCAAATTAAAATGACGATAAGCCATTATTTCACATTTACTAGAATGGCCATGATAAAAACACAATAATACAAGCTGTCAAGAATGTGGAGAAATGCGGACCCTCAGACATTGCTGGTGGGAATGTTAAATGATGCAGCCACTTCAGAAAATAATTTAGTAGTTTTTTAAAATCTTGAATATAAATTACCACCCAACCACAATCCTTGTTATTCACAGAAGAAAAATGAAAATATATATCCACAAAAAGACCTCCATATGAATGTTCATAGAAACATTATTCATAAAAGCCAAAAAGTAGAGACAATTCAAATGTCCATCAATCGATGAATGAATAAACAAAATGTGATATAATCATATGACGGAATGCTAATGAGAAGGAGCAATAAAAAGAAATGAAGTAATGATACACGTCACAAGAAGACTGAACCTCAAAAACATTCCGCCAAGTAAAAAATTAAAAAAAATAAAAAAAAAAAACAAACATTCCGCCAAGTGAAAGGAATCAAATGTAAAAACTGTATATTGGGGTGCCTGAGTGGCTCAGTCGATTGAGCATCCAACTTTGACTCAGGTTGTGATCTTACAGTTTCCGTGTTCAAGCCCCACATCGGGCTCTCTGCTGTCAGTGTGGAGCTCGCTTTGGATCCTCTGTCTCTCTCTCTCTCTGCCCTTCCCCCACTGGCGTGTGCATGCACGTGTACATTCTCACTTTCTCTCTCTCAAAAATAAACATTAAAAAAAAAAACAACAAAGAAAAAACCAAACTGTGTCCTGTATGATTACATTTATACGAAGTACATGGAACAGGCAAATCTACGAAACACAAAGCAGATTAGTGGTGGCCTGGGACCAGGGCTGGGAATGACAATGACCTGAAAATGGATATGAGGGATCTTACTGGGGAGATAAAAATGTTCTAAAGCTGGATTATAGTGATGACTTCACAACTTGGTAAATTTCCTAAAAATCATTAAAAAAAAACCTTTAGGGGCGCAGACAAAGTGCAAGTAGGGGAGGAACAGAGAGAGAAGAAGACACAAAACTGCTCTTGCTCCTCAATGCCTACAACATTTACCATCAGAGTCTGCCGACCCCTGCTCTGGACGAATGCTTTTCCCTTCAGAAAGAGAAACTCGATGGGGACGCCTGGGTGGCTCAGCTGGTTAAGCACCTGACTTTGGCTCAGGTCATGATCTCACGGTTCAGGAGTTCAAGCCCTACACTGGACTCTGTGCTGACAGCTCAAAGCCTGTAGCCTGCTTCGAGTTCTGTTTCTCCTTTTCTCTGCCCCTCCCCTGCTTTCACTCTGTCTCTCTCTGTCTCTCTCTCTCTCAAAAATAAATAAACATTAAAAAAAGAAAGAAAGAAAGAGAAACTTGAGGTCTGTTCTTTCTGTGTTACTAAAGGGGGTTAGCAAATCCCCTTGAATTAAATAGATGGAATGAAAGAGAATTGGAAAGAGACAAACTTTCTTTTTCTCCTTATGTTTTTTAAGGTCTCATCTGTGATTAAAATGGTCTAAAACCCCATCCATGGCATCCTTCTGCCCATTACCTGCCCTGCAGCCTCACGCAGCTGGACCTGGATGCGCTGGCAGAAGTCAGGATTGCAGAGCAGAGTGAGAGGGGCCTTCAGCTGGATGGGCACAGGGCCGGCAGTCTCCAGCAGGTGTTGCCACTCGTCATCACTGTCTGGCTCCTGAGGCACAGGGGAGTGAAAGAGGTCAGGAGTGTGTAAGGTTCAAGGGTGGTAGCTCTCAATCTGCAGAATCATGGGATAAATCCAAGAACCAGTGAATCCTTCAACATAGATGTGTTTGCTTCAACCACCAGTTTAAAAAGGTATAGTTTGGCAGTAGGTGAGGAGTCTTGAAAAGTCTTGCAGAATACTGGCGTGCGTTCATAAAGAGATACCTACAAATATGCCCAGTCTGGCATGCTTTATAATGTAAAAAAATTGGCAATGTCATACATAAAGGCAATCGGTAAGGGAATAATAAATCATGGCACATCCCTATAAGGAAATATGATGACGTTATTAAAAAGATTGTATTCCGAGGATGCATCACTAATGTAGTATTCCGACCAAAATTTCATAAATAAATCTAATCATGAGAAAATATCAATTTGATGAACATTCCACAAAATAACTGGCCTGTGTACCTCAAAACTACTAGTCATGAAAGACAAAGACTAGGAACTATTCCAGATTAAAGGAAACTAAAGAGGTATAACAACTAAAGCAGTGCATTACACTGGATTGGATCATGGACCAGTAAAAAAAATGTTTTGCTATAAGGAATAGTACTGGACCAACTGGCCAACTTTGAATATGGATTTTAGATGAAGTAGCAGAATTATATCAAGGTTAAATTTCTGACTTCTGTAATTATACACGTAGTAGTGTAAGTCAAGGATCTTGTTCTCAACAAATATGCACTAAAGTACTTAGGGACATGATTGCATCTTACCCTAAAATGACTCAAGAAAGAGGATATACCCATATGCAGACATAAAAAGAGAGAAAATCGGGGCGCCTGGGTGGCTTAGTCGGTTAAGCGTCCGACTTTCGCTTAGGTCATGATCTCGCGGTTCGTGGGTTCGAGCCCCGCGTCGGGCTCTGTGCTGACTGCCAGCTCAGAGCCTGGAGCCTGTTTCAGTCTGTGACTCCCTCTCTCGCTGACCCTCCCCTGCTCACGCTGTCTCTCTCTCTCTACTAGAAATAAATAAAAACATAAAAAAAAAAAAAAAAAAAAAAAGAGAGAAAATCATGAAGCCAATGTGGCAGAATTTTAAGAGTTGGTGAATCTGGATGAAGGGCATACAGGAATTCTTTGTGGTACCCTCACAATTAGTCCTGAAGCTTGAAACTATTTCAAAAGAAAAAGTTAATCCCCCTACCCCACCCCCCAAAAAAAGCCAGAAAAGATTAAGGTAAAATTATATGTTCAGATGCAGAAAGATCTCCAAAACAGATCATCTGGGAAGAGAGGCATGCTACAAAACAGTACATATAGTGTGAACTCAGTAACAGAAAAACAACCAAACGCTATAGATATCTATGTGTGCCTATACACACATAGGCACACATAGGCATATGTAAAAATGCAAAAGTTCAGAAAAAGAAAGACTAAACTAATAACACCAGACACCTCTGGAACTGGGGTAAGATGCAAGAGGGACTTTCATTTTTACGCTTGTGTTCCAATTTTTTAAAGTTACATGTTTAGATACTATGCAATTAAAATCTACAAATTAATAGTAAGAAAGCAATTTTTAACACCAGGGGAGCTCGTTCTTGGATGGTTGGGAATTACTGTTCTAGAAAAACATCTACCCACACCCAATATCCCTTGGCAAGGTCAAGGCCTAGAGGAGTCCCCACGGCTCACCTCATTTTCTAGGTCCACTGCATCAATGCTCCGCTGGCCCACCACTTCTGGCCTCAGCTCTGGGAGGGCTGGTTCAGAATCTTGGCTGATCTGGTTTTCCCTGCCAGAGGAACGGGGAATAAGAAGAGTTCCAGACCTGTGAGGCTTGGGGTTCATCTACATATTCCTCTCTCTAGGCCCAAGATAAGAATGAAGAACGAGCCATACAGGACTGGATAGGAGAGAGCTTTCTTCTAGGACATGGCCAGGACAGGATGTTGATCACCACACATATCCTTGACTGCCCTTCTACTTTGGATCTTACTCTCAAGCCTACTGTGGCAGTTTTCATCTATAGTTCTCAACTCAAATTATCTTCCCTTTTACACAGAGACAATTCTTTCCTTCTCAGTTAATGTACAAGTAAGGCATAGAGAAAGGAAAATTACCAGGATGAATCAGGAAAGTATCCAGAATCGGAATTCAAGAACACAGGACTTGGACTCCAAGGGTCCCATCCACACTTAGGTGGTGGGTAGTGACAGGTGCCATGTTGTATTTGTTTTGACTAAAACCAAAGATATTCAAGGTACCTCAGTCTATAAATCCCTGACTAGCCCCTCCTCACCGAGGTCCGGGGGGAGCCTCTCCAGCCCCCCACTCAGCCCAGCTGTTCTTCATTTCTGAGGCCAAGATCCCAGCCAAGAGGCCTGGTTCTTGAGGAGTGGCTCTTAGTCTGGGCAGAGGGGCTGTGCCAGAAGCCATCTTGCTGGTCCTGTCCTCTTGCTCAAGGGCAGGTCCTGTGTTCTGGTGTTTCTGTGGGAAATGGGCAGGAGACACTGAATCAAAACTATTTGGTTGGGGAGCGGGGGTGCCTAGGTGGTTCAGTCGGGTAAGCCTCTGGAGCTTGGTTTCGGCTCAGGTCATGATCACGTGGTTTGTGAGTTCGAGCCCTGCATCAAGCTCTGCACTGACAACGTGGGGCCGGGTTGGGATTCTCATTTCTCTCCCTCTCTCTGACCCTCCCCTGCTTGTGCTCTCTCACTCTCTCTCTCTGTCTTTCTCTTTCTCTCTCAGAATACATAAATAAACTTAAAAAAAATTTTTTTAACTATTTGTTTGGGGTCCCTGGGTGGCTTAGTCATTTGAACATAGGACTCTTGGCCTCGGCTCAGGTCATAATTTCACAATTTGAGTTCAAGCCCTGCATCAGATTCGTACTGACAGCTTGAAGCCTGCTCGGATTCTCTCTCTCTCTGCCCCTCTCCTGCGCACACCCTCTCTCTCTCAAAATGAATAAATTTAAAAACAAAACAAAACTATTTGATTGCCACAGGGCAGTATGAATCCTATTTATGGCCCTTTCGCAACCATCCTTCTCCAATTCTCCCAGTCACTAGCCTGGTCATGTCACATATTCCCCCATCCCACATACCTTCTGCTTGGCTTCCTCAGCCATGCGCTTACAGGCTTGTCGCAAGATTCGAGAACGATTGCCCTTGGGGGCCAATCGACGTGCCTGTTGGTCCTTTAGGACCTGAAGTTCTGGGGGTAGGTGACTGGTGAACGGGGTGCCCAAATCTGGGCCTGCTGGTTCAGTTATTACTGCAGGGAAGAAGAGGGAGAATATGTGATCACCCTGGAGCTGTGCCACCATCTCCACTTGGCCAGAGACAACTTCAGTGTCCTCGGGCTTCTGTGGGAGGAGGCCGTTTTGACAACATGACAAAGAGGGAATGGGGCTGTAAGGGAAGTGCCAAAGGTTAGGCAAAGGGCTAGGAAGGGAGTTCAAGCTGGTAGGGTAAAGCGGACAGGTTGCATCCAGATGCTGGGGGAAGGGGGTGGGCTGGGAAGGGCATGAGGGATGTGCAAAAGCCCTGGGAACCCTAATGACTCACTGGTAACACGACCAGCTATAAAGGGGTGATGTAAGAGGTCTGGCCAGGACAGACGCTGCCTGGGGTCCTTGGTGAGCAGTCCTTGCAGGAAGTTCTGTGGAGAGAAAAAAATACCCCGTGGGTCATCGCTTTCCTACAGACTCTCTAACCACCAGCAGAATGAGGAAACCAAGACTCCTGAGTCCGTTGCTTCAGTGAACTAGCTGGTCTTGATCACACCGTCTCTAATCCTATCCTTAGGCCTCATTTCCCTGGCTCCAGGGACAGGCTTCTCTGCCTCACCTCCTGGAGAGCTCCAATTCCTGTCCAGAGACTTACTGTCACCTTCAGGTCATCTTCAGAAAGCAAACATTCAAAGGAGTCCAAATTGCTCCCTTTGCCCTCCCTTTGATTGCGGGTTCGTTTGCAGCTGGGTAGGACCAGAAGCATCTGTGGTTAAAAGCACACTCACACACAAGTCACGGTGTAAAGGTGTGTTTGGGAGCACAAGAAAACAGAAATCTTTCAGCAAGTCTTGAGATAGTGGAAGGGAAGGGAGACTGCCTCTGAAAAGGGTACATCTGTTATGGGGTATCCTTGGGAAAATCCTCAGGTGGGCCTAAAATGGGGATAGAAGGTACTGGTCGATCCTGACCCCTATTCTAAAACAAGGTGATTAGTGTATTGTGGCTCTTGCTCAAGATACATGCTTGTCTGCACTAAGGGAGAATGAAATCCTTTGTAGATTACCCACTTACATTTCTTTTGCTTAGATTCTTTTTGATAATTACTAAATAGGTTAGGAAGACACTTGTCCCTTTTCATCTTAGACAGGGCAAGGGAAAGTTATAATAAGATTGCACTCTGGGAAAAGGTTGCACTTAAATTCCATTGAGGGCCCAAATTTTGCCCTAGATAAGAAATAAAAAGGGTCAACTCTTTATTTGTGGTCACTCCCTCCCTCCCTCACCCATGGAGACAGCTGCAGGCAACAGATACCACCTCTAACATCTGCCCCGAATCGTTGATCTCGCCTCACTAGCTCTGGCCCTTTGGATTTCTGAAGATTCCTTCTTTCAGGAAGAAGACTAAAAACTCTGTGGGCAAATCTAGATATCATTTGGACTTTGCATCTGATAGGAAGTAAGTGGAAGAGAGGATGTGTCAAAGGACAGTATCGTCTCTGGTAGCTTTTCCATTGTGATAAAGAATTGCCTGCCCTGGGGCGCCTGGGTGGCTCAGTGGATTAAGCATCTGACTCTTGATTTTAGCTCAGGTCATGATCTTCACAGGTGAGTTTAAGCCCCACATCCACAGTGCAGAACCCTTGGGATTTTCTTTTTCTCCTCTCTCTCTGCCCCTCCCCACCACGCATGTGCGTGCTTTCTGTCAAAACAAATAGACTTAAAAAAACATAATGTATGTATATACACACACACACACATATATATATGAACAGCCTACTTTGTACATGAATAGCCCGCCCCAAGGAGGGGCTGGTATTCCCAAGTACGGCAGAGCTTAGAACAGCCTCCCAGACTAAGCCCCTGCAGTAGAAAAGCAAGGCAGCTTGGCCCAGCTCCCGTGTTAGGTCAGTAACTGCAGAATCTTGCCCAAGATATTGGGAAAGTGGACCCGGGCACAGGAAGACAGGTTTATGACACAAAAGTAATCTCCCTTTCCATGTTCATTACCTTGAAGCAAGGACTCATGGTGGTCGGCCAGCGCACAGGGTCCTTGAGAATGAGGCTGACCAGCTGAAAGATGCTCGTAGTGTAGAAGGGAGGGGTGCCCACAGCCAGCTCATACAGGATGCAGCCCACAGACCAGAGGTCTGCAGTGTGGTCATACGGTCGCTCTTCCACCAGCTCCGGAGACATATAAAGTGGTGTGCCTTTGATGGATGTCAGCACCATCGTGTTGGTGCTCATCGCCCGGGCAAATCTGCAGGAGATAATGGAACCGAGATGGGAAGATAAACCGAGATAGTCAATAAAAACATTGTATGAGATATCTCAAACTCAAACAGAGAACACCTTCCAAAAAACCCAAGAGGAACCCCAGCCTTCAGCTCGGGTTCTAAAATGAGGCCCAGATAAGTCAAGCATATGGTCTAAGACTCCCTGCAGAACTGGAAGGTCAGACTCCTCACCCAAAGTCACAGAGCTTGATGCCACCACCCTTGGCAAGGAGGATGTTCTGAGGCTTCATGTCTCGGTGGAGAATGCGGTGGGAGTGCAGATAGTACAGAGCGGACACCAGCTGGGCAGCAATGGCCTGAACCTAGGGGTCAAGGAGGCAGGAGAAAGGAGAGGTCAGAGGAAGAAGCCTACTGATGAGCCCAAAGACACTTCCCTAAATTACTGATGAGATCTTCTCTTCCTGCTCTTTCTCCGAGAACTTCCCATGACATCTTCCTTAACTCTTGCCTCCCATTCACTCATTCTTTCATTTGTTCATTTACACATTCAAGGAAAATGTATTGGGTCTCATCTCACTAGCTGCAAGACGATGGATGGGCAAATCATCTTGTGCCTCCCAGATGCATCATCTGTAAGCTGATGACAATAATACCACTTCCCTCATAGGATTATTGTAAGGATTAAATAAGTTAAAGCATGCCATGCTCAGAATGGTGCCTGGCATTTAGTAAGCTTTCAATATACATTAGCTGTTATTAAACAAGACAAAGTCATTTTTCTCAAGACAAGTAATCAGACAACAAATAAGTTAGACAAAATGAGTGAGATGATAACTTACAAATAACAATGTTTGGAAAGAAATGGATTGCTACAATAGGAAGTCCGGGGGTGTGGGGGTGTGGGAGGGACTACTTGTTAAGATACAGAGAAATCCCTAGAATGACTGTGGCTGGAGAATGTGTTCCACCAAATCCCACTGCCAACCAGCAGGTCTTGGTGGCAAATTCTGCCTTCACAACAACCTGTATTCCCTTGCTGCCCCCTCTGGTACCACCACCCAGGCCTTTTTTCTCTAAAGGTGTCTAGTGACAGCAAAAGCATTAAGAGCAGCTAACTATGCTGAATAGTGTACGTCAGGCACTCTCTTAAATGCTTTATATGACGCATGCCTGGGGGGCTCAGTCGGTTAAACGTCCAACTTTGGCTCAGGGCATGATCTCACGGTTCATGGGTTTCAGCCCCACATCAGGTTCCATGCTGATGGTGCAGAACCTACACGGGATTCTCTCTCTCTCCTTCTCTCTCTGCCTCTCCCATGCTGGAGCTTTCTCTCTCTCAAAAAAAATTTTTTTTTGTTTTAAGATTTAAATGTTTTACATGAATTCATTAATCTTCACAATAGTCTCAGGAGACAGACATTATAATTTTTTTTTTAATGTTTTATTTATTTCTAGGAGAGAGAGAGAGACAGCGTGAGCAGGGGAGGGTCAGAGAGAGAGGGAGTCACAGACTGAAACAGGCTCCAGGCTCTGAGCTGGCAGTCAGCACAGGGCCCGACGCGGGGCTCGAACCCACGAACCGCGAGATCATGACCTAAGCGAAAGTCGGACGCTTAACCGACTAAGCCACCCAGGCGCCCCAGGAGACAGACATTATAATGACATCCATTTTTAAATGAGGAAACTGAGTACTAAGAGGTTAAAGTAACTTGCCCAAAAGGATCCAGTTAGAAAATGGCAGAGTCAACCTTTGTACTCAGAGATTTTGGCTCCAGTGTTCACATACTTTACTGTCATGCAACACTGTCTCCATATACACCTAGGCTCTTATATTTTTCCTCAGGAGTTTTCAAAATGGAGAATCTCCGTGCCCTCAGCTTTGCCTACCAGTCCTTAATCGGGAAAGAAGTCAGGGGAGGGGAGAAGTCTGAGCCAGGAAACATACCTGGTCTTCTGGAAGTTTTCCATCATCTTCCAAGATCTGAAAGAGCTCTCCCTCTGCATAGTCTGTCACTACCACTACCTGCAGGAAAAATGGAATGGCACTGATGGCTCCAGATTTATGCATTCTGAGACTGGGAAATTTCTGGGACCCTTCTCCCCACAGAGAGATGACCCCAAACTGAAGTGCACCTCTTTGTCAGTTTCAAAGCTGTCAAGCATATGCACAATGTTGGGATGCCGCAGACCCCGCATGATTTCAATCTCTCGTTGCAGATTCCTCAGCTCCTTCTCTGAGCGTCCCAATTTTGGAATGAACTTCAGGGCCACCACCTGTCAGTGGTAAGATGAAGAGTCAAGGCCTAACTAATCATGCTATTGAAACATTCACCTCAGAGCTCCAGAACTCAGGCTTTAGATTATTTGGGCAAATTCTCATTACCTGCTCGTCTCCTACTCCCCTTCCTTACAGTACCCTGGCTTTATCCAGAGGACCCCCCCCCCCACACACACCTTGCTCTAGGAGAAAACAGGTTCTGCCAGACAGATCCCTTTGGTGGATTCTGGGAGAGATGTTCTGATCTGGGTAAAGAACTCTGGGTAAAAACTTAAGAGATTTATGGGAAAGAGAAGGAAAAAAGAAATGAAGGAAGAATAGAGTTCAGGTGGTTTATCTCTTCCTACATGGTATGATATACAGTAACAATAATAAAGATAAAAATGTATTTATTATTTACTGGGTGCCAGACACTATACTAGTATAGTGATTCAGCATGAATCATATTTAATTTAATTTAATTTAATTTAACCCCCTCAATCAGATACTGTTCTTATCTTCATTCTATACATGAGGAAACGGAGACATCGAGAGGTTAAGTAACTTGTCCATAGTTCTAAGGCTAGAAATGGTGGACCTAGGGTCTGAACCTAAGTAATCCAATATTAGAACACCCACTCCACAAGAGGAATGACCGAATCGGTGCCTTAGGAATACAGGTCCGTATTCTGGTCCCATTTTCCCCTGTAGTTGGAGATTCAGAATTCCACCCAAGAGATACCCCTCTTTGTTCACCACCTGAGCACTGTATTTTCTTCGACCCTTGTACACCCTCCCAAAAGAGCCTTCTCCAATCATCTCCAACACGTGGTACTTTTCCATGACAGAGATTTCAGGATCCCTCAGAAGGAAGGAGGTGGAGATGGTGGTGAAGGGCTACAGCTTCAGGGACAGCTCCACACATCTAGGAGGCCTGGATTGGGCATGAAAGAAAGGTTTACGTTAGCCACCTTGCCTTTTCCTTTTTCATAGTAATCCAGGCCTCAAAACCATGGTAGGGTGGAGCGGATGGAAAGATGAGATCTTGGGAGCAAACAGATCGCCTCCGGTTCTCGATCCTTCTCAGCCTCCTCCTGTCTCCCAACCCAACCTCTTTTCTACCGAATCTCGTACCCCTCTCCCATCTCCACGCAGCTCCGCCCACCTGACCGCTCCCCCTCTACTTCTACCCAGTTTCTCCCCTCGGCCCCGCCCCCTCCGCCCCTCCTCGCTCCCCCCGACCCCGCCCTCCCCGCCCAGCCTGGCCCACCCGACTCCGCCCCTTCCATCCAGCCTCGCCTACCGACCTCGCCCCTTACAGCCTCCCGCAGGTTCCCGCCACCGCCAACCTCTTCAACACCCCTGCCCGTGCTACCTGCCCGCGCGCTTGGTAGACCGGAGCCCCACTCTCACCCCCAGCCTAGGAGCTTCAAGCTCCTCAGGCCGAGGGATGCCGGCCCTGGCCTTCAGCCCCGCCCGTTCCGGCTGCCTGTGGATTTTGCCTGACTTCTAATTCTTCTTCATCCCCACTGCCGGTCTCTTTAGACTCTTTAGACTCCCATTGTTACCAGATGTACTCGCTGGGACTGGTCAGAGAGGTTATTCAGAGGGCAAAGGCGTTCAGAGGTGTTGGAGAGACGTCGGACCACCCATAGGCACTTTCTAAGGCACTTCGGAACCGTCTCTTGGCCATCAGGCCCACTAAGGACCTGGACTCTCTGGTTGCCTAGAAACGGCCGGTAGCCACCCTCCCTCGCTCCCTCCCTTAACTTGCCGCCTCTGACTTCCCCGAGAGTATTTCCGGTTCCGGCTGTGGGCCGGAGAAGACATGGCGGCTTCTGCGTCGGCAGCTCCCGGGGAGGAGGACTGGTAACTCTGGGGGCATGGGCTTTGGCTGGCCGCCTGGATCCGGTCCGGGGGACTGGCAGTGGCCGCAGATGGTCCGTACGGCGGACGTGTGGGGCGGAGCGAGGGATAAGGGATGGCAGAGACTCGGACATGTCTCTCTGAGAGAGCTTCTGTACTGGGGAGCGGGAGGGTGGAGGGGCGCTGATCCGATGGAGAGGAGACAGATGCAGCTCGGGCTGCGCCGTGTCTGGCCCGATCCCCTCTTCTCCGGCCTCGCCGGTCCCACCCTCCTGAAGTGGATTTGCCCAGGGTCCCGGAGGATGCCTGTTTAGCAGCTCTCCCCACCTCCCTTTTACCTCCCGAACCGATGTCCTCCAGCTCGCGTCCCTCTTTCCCCTTGGATCAGCCTAGTTCCGCCGAGGCTTTCCTCAGCCTTCTCCCTCCCCGCCAGCACTAATGAGGACTATTGTCTGAATAAAGCTTTACACCTCACAAGAAGCTCTCCTAGTCCTTCTCTCTCTCAAACATTCTCAACAAGAGACCAAAACGTGAAAGGACTCTGGAATTTGGAAATAAGATAAATGTGGGCTCACTCCACATTTTATTAGCTGGGTGATGCTAACCAGGCCACCTAGCTTCTGTGAGTCAGTGTCCTCAGGTGTGAAAAACTGGGTGTGGCATCTACCTCAGAATAGTTGAGAGGATCACGATGTAACACACACAAAAGCCTTCTTTTCATTAATAACTGAGGTGTGGGCACCTGAGGAGACTAGAAGAGGCCTGAAGAGGTAAATCGATTTGCTGAAAAGGTACATAGTTATGACTAGGAATCCAGGTTATCGGACTCCGAATCTCATGTTTTTAGGACTAGCACGTTTTATAATCTCCCCCTGCCCGTTTTTTGGTCACCACCTTACCACCATCCCACCCCATCCCTCACATCCAGGGCCCAAGTCACAGCTAGGATGGGATGAAGTATTGAAGGGCCTCTTGGTGGAGGTTACACGTCAGTGTTTGATTGGTTCAGGGAGTCCAGCCTGTGTGGGCCTTTAGTGAGACCATGTAGGGTCATGATTTTCAACCTGTTCAGGGGAACTTTACGATTCAGAGGAGACCCTTGGAGCTACGGAGAGGGTAGCAGTGGTTGCACAGCTGGCCTGTGGTGCTCTGAGCCTCCCATAGTCATGGCAACCAAAGTACTCCACTGTTGTCTCTTTTATACCTTGAGGCCTCTGAGACTTAGAAAGTTTGAGAACCAGTAATATATAAGTCACGCTAGGACAGCCTGCTCTTGATGAAAAGGGAATAATAACTATAGAAAGGAAATCAAGAAGGCATCTTTACATGCATTACGAGGGTAGAGCTGTGGACTCAACCCAATCACTCCTCTTCAGTGTCATTACAACTGCTGTTTCTGTGACTAAATATGTGTGTCCTCTCGTTTACCTCAGGACTACCAGATCCTGACCTAAACGGGTTGATCTAGATCAACCAAACAGCAAGGGTCCAAAATATAGTGACTACTAACTACATCCTTCCTTCTTTCAAGGGAGACAGTTATATACAAATAGGAGAAAAGAGGATGTAGACTAGCTACTATGGCCAAGATATTATTAGGTCAGAGAGATGGCCAGTCGACATTACAATGGAACTTAAAAAAGGGAGTCAGGGAACCTGGCTATGGTTCTAGCTCTGCCTCTGTTAAACTTTGATATTTGAGCTTCCTGGGAACTTCACCTTCCTGGGAATCCATTTCCTCATCTGTTGACAGTAATGGTGTTTTAAACTCTGATATCCATGCTTCCTTCCTGGCCACTTGACAACTCAAAACATATTTCCCCCATTTTTATGGAGGTTAGCAAGAGCATGCACTCAGGTAGATTGCCAGTGTTCTACGAAGCCAGCCTTCATTGGCTTTAGCAGGCTTTAACAGGGAGAGCTGTAATGGTGAGTCAATCTCCCCCTGTCTCTCTAGGGTACTTCCCTCTGAAGTCGAGGTGTTAGAGTCTATCTATCTGGATGAACTACAGGTGGTTAAAGGAAATGGCAGGTACGTATTCAACTAGAGGTGGGCAGGCGTCCCCTTAGTAATGAGAGGATTCCATGGAGAATCCGTGAGCCTTGATCCAGAGAAAATGTTGCTCTCATGGAGACAAAGACTATTTCTTTAATCTCCTCCAAAGGAAAGAGTCCAGTGCTTACTTCCTCCACCCACTTTACTGTCTCACCTCCATTTTCCCCAGTCCTCAAACTGCTGCCCAGTCACATCACAGGTCTCCACTTCATCCACTTACAGATCTTCACCATGGGAGATCTACATTACCCTGCACCCTGCCACTGCAGAAGATCAGGACTCCCAGTATGTCTGCTTCACTCTGGTGCTTCAGGTCCCAGCACAGGTGAGGCCCTTACTTTTCTGGCAGCAAAGAGAGGAAGGAGAGAGGCCCTGTGGTGGAGTGCTTTAGCAGTAACTTGTTATTCCCTCCCACTAGTACCCCAATGAGGTGCCACAGATCTCTATCCGTAACCCCCGAGGACTCTCAGATGAACAGATCCACAAGTAAGTTGGATGCTCAGAGGAGGGAAGAGGGGGGGATACAACTCTGTCTGGTGAAAGGAGGGGGCAGGCCTAATGTTTGCTTTGCCCTTTTCTAGAATTTCGCAGACACTGAGCCACGTGGCCAACACCAGCCTGGGCACTGCCATGCTCTATGAACTCATAGAGGTAAGAGGGGTGCTAGCCTGGGAAACTGCTAGAACAGCTTCTCAAGGGAGGTAACGGGCCTAGAATCTTTAATATGTCTGGAGTCATTTATTTGGTCCTTGTTTAGGTAAGGCCTAAATCCAGTAAGATAAGGTTTTCTTCTGTTTCCAAGAACACCCCCTTCCCCCAAAAAAAGACAGTTCTGTAGCTTCTCCAGGTTGCCTCTGCCAGTATCTTGAAAATTGCTTTTCTTCTTTAACTTGGATTTTTTATTCCATTTCAGTGCATTCTCTTGGCATTGGCGAATGAAAGTAGCAAGAGATAGGGGCCTTGCTTAGAGGGTCTAGCCACAAATGAACAGGTGAAGGCTCGCCTGCCCTTGGAGCTAACTGAAAAAAAATCATGGTTCTTTTACTCAAGAGTTTCTACCCTGATGAAGTTAATAGCACACAGGGAACACCCAGAGCTACAAGTTCACATACACAGATAACTTCTGTTGCTTGAGATTAAAAACACACAATAAGTAGTCTTGTTTTCCTCAACTTCAAGTTTTGAAGAAAAACGTTCAGAAGAGAATGAAGGTGGGCGGCCGGGAGTCAGAGAGTGGGCTTAGACCACTGTAGCACTCCTGAGCCTGGCCTCCACAATGCAACTTTGAACTTTGTGGAATTCCAGAGTATTAGCTATTCAGACAGCAGTGCAAATATGTTAGTTCATAGCCCAACCCGATGCCTTTGAGTTGTCTGTCCGTTTGGGTTGTCCATGCCTTGACTTTCTTTCTGAAGGCCGACTCCAGGATGGACTTTTGGGTGGAGGTGATACTCAGAGGGGTTTAACCCAGGAACATGTCCCAGAATATATGAGTTTTAATTGAATATTTTGGTCTCTCAAGGTATATTACTTTCATCCCCGAGACGTATTAAAGGTGATTTAATGAGTGGAAAAAGAATGAAATTGGATTTTGCAGCTGGGTAGACTCTGGGGGAGAGGCGGGGATGTGGAGGAGTATTTCCTCCCTTGGTGAGGGAGCTTCACCAAGACAGGAATGCATGAACACAAAGTAACATTGGCTCTGTAGGAGATAGTCCTTCTAGTCACTCCGGGGAATAGTAGATAGGCTCTATTCACAGTTCTTGCCCCCACCTCCCCGTTTGAACAGTGTCTTCTCTCCTCGCAGAAAGGGAAGGAAATTCTCACAGATAACAACATCCCGCATGGCCAGTGTGTCATCTGCCTGTATGGTTTCCAGGTGGGTCTCTCTCTCGGGACCTGGGGTCCGCTAGGGACGGGCAGTGGAGGGCTCATGAGAGAGCTCTGATGCCATGCTGGATGTCTGTCCTGCCTTCAGGAGAAGGAGGCTTTTACCAAAACCCCCTGTTACCACTACTTCCACTGCCACTGCCTTGCGCGGTATATCCAGCACATGGAGCATGAGCTGCAGGCTCAAGGTCAAGAGCAGGAACAGGAACGGCAGCATGCCGCAACCAAGCAGGTCAGCTCGCCGGCCCCTGTTCTCTCCAGACCCCGAGTCCCAACCTGTCCTGGCTCTCTACTCTAGTGCCTCTTCACCTTTTTAGGGTCACAAATACCTTTGAAATTAATGAAAGCTCACGCCTGTCCAGAAAAAGAAAAGTGCATTCTTTTAAACAGATAGATGCACTGCATACAGTTTCAAAGAGTTCCCAGACCTCCATCCAGGGCGGCAACCCCGCCCTATCCTTCACTACTGACCACTGTGCCTCTGCCCTGTGTCCCCCACCCGTGCGGATTAGGCTGGCTGGCTGGGCTGGGCAGCTGGCGAGAGCCGCGGGCTGTCATTTCTCCGTTTTTAGAAGGCAGTCGGAGTGCAGTGTCCGGTGTGCAGAGAGCCCATCGTGTATGATCTTGCCTCACTGAAAGCAGCCCCCGAACCCCAGCAGCCCATGGTAAGGGAGCTCCCTTCTCATCTGAGCCAGGAATAACGGCGTTCTCCAAAGAGGGAGGGATGGCATCTTGCCTGCCTTGAACGGGACCTCTGGAATTGGGCTTGACCAGCCTGGGACCTCTCTTCAGAGCCATAGCCCCCACTAGACTAAGACTTTGGGAGCCTCAACATGAGGGACAAACCCAAGAACCTTGTGCAGGGGGTGCCTGTGGTTCAGTCGGTTGAGCATCTGATGCTTGATTTCAGCTTGGGTCATGGTCCCAGGGTCATGGGATCGGGCCCTTAGTCAGGGCATTGCATTGAGTGTGGAGCCTGCTTGGGATCTTCTCTGCCTCTGTCCCTCTTGCCCTTGCTCGCATCCCCTCTGCCTCCCTCCCTCTCTCTGAGTGAAAAAAAAACGAACCTTGTGCAGATCTCCTAGGGCAATCCTGAAAGAGCAGGGGTTCAAACCTGCCTTCTGCTGTTTAGTTTTTCCTCCTCGTCACTCTGCTCGCTTCCCTCCAGGAGCCATACCAGCCTAACACAGAGAGCTTACGCCAGCAGGAAGAGCGCAAACGGCTCTACCAGAGGCAGCAGGAGCGGGGGGGCATCATCGACCTTGAGGCCGAGCGTAACCGGTACTTCATCAGCCTCCAGCAGGTGAGGAAAGGCTTTCTCACTCCCCCCGTAATGCCCCCTCCCTTCCCACCAACACGCCTCTGCCATGGTGGCCCTGAGGGTGAACTCTGTTCTACCCTTGAGGCAGATGGTGGTCGGCTCCAGTCATGAGCGAGGGGTCTGAGGTCCCTGCTATGGGGAACTGCATCTCCCTCACTGCATTTGCTCCCTTCTTTCTAGCCTTCTGCCCCTTTGGAACCAGAGTCCGCTGTAGATGCCTCCAGAGGATCCCAGCCACCCAGTGCCCTTGACACAGAACTGTCCTCCTCATCAACTGCCCAACCCAACCTGTCAGCTCCTCCGCCTGCGGCCTCCCAGTACACGTGTGAGAAGATTCCAGGGGCTGGGCCAAATCAGCAAAGGTTGGGCGAGACCCCGAGAACTATGCTAGATCCCCCCCGGGCCAGTCGAGGCCCCTGGAGACAGTCTGAACGGAGGCACCTAAAGGGAGGGGAGTGCAATGCCCACAAAGGTACCAGTGACACCCAGGAACTGCCACCTCCTGAGGGGCCCCTCAAGGAGCCCATGGACCTAAAGCCAGAATCCTGTAGCCAAGGGGTTGAAGGTCCTCCCCAAGAGAAGGGGCCCAGCACCTGGCAGGGTCCCCCACCCCGCAGGACACGGGACTGTGCTCGCTGGGAGCGCTCCAAGGGCCGGACTCCAGGCTCTTCCTACCCCCGCCTGCCACGGGGCCGGGGAGCCTACCGTCCCGGTACTCGAAGGGAGCCCCTGGGCCTGGAGTCTGAGGATGGCTCCTAGCAGTACTGTGGGGGGGCAGGGATTTGGGGCGGCAGGGGCAATAAAGAGATCTGGCCTTGTTTGGCTTCTTTGTTTCGTAGTGCCTGGTCTGTGCAGTATGGCTCTTTCTGACTTCCTGGCAAGGTGAGTGTGGCAGAATAGCCCCGACTCTGCTTTCAAGTCCGTTTGTCCAAGAGATGAGAGTCTGAGTGAAGGCAGGTCTGACATCTCCACTAGTGTGGGGAGTTTCAGGAAAACTGGCAGAGGCCAACCAGCATTTAAACAGAATATGCGGGAACATAACCTATATATGCTATATACACACCTATGTTTTGATGCATATACATTTTTTTTTAATTGAATGCCTTTTAAAGCGAATTCTCTACTTCCCTGATGACCGTAGTGTCTCTTCTTCCTGCTTTGCCTTGGCTTATGCCCCCAGCACTTGCATATGTGGATGCCTGAGGGCCCCTGCTTTTTATTCAAGTGCGCATACAGGCAGGTAGGAAGGGGGTCAAAGACCAGAGTGGTGTGGCAGGTGTTTATTGAGCTAGAGGAGAGCTGAGCACAGCCCGCCTGTCACGTCCTCAGAGACTCGGCATTTTGAACTGCCCCTGCAGGGTCATTTTTATACAGCATGAAGTAGCCTTGGACCTGGGCAGGACTGATCTGAGTTGTAACGTGAAGAACACGTTCTGCAAAGGTCTCGGCCAGGGAAGGCGCTTGCCCTGGATAGAACCTCTGGAACATCTGAGTCAGCTGCCAGTGTGAGCAGTACCCCACATACTCCTTCATGTCTACTCGTCCAGGGCGGATCAGTGCAGGGTCCAGCCTAAGAGCACAAGGCAGCAAAAGCAGAAGCACAGGCACAAGTACCACCGCTCCCCCCCTAAAAAGATGGTTTCTCTGAACCTCCTGATCCTCCCAAGGCGCCAAGGAGGTGGAGTCCTGCCTCACAGTCTCAGCTTGCTTCACCCCTTCTTACCTGTCCACGTGGTTGGTAGTCATGAACACGATGCGTGCCTCTGTAGAAGCTACACCATCCAAGGCATTGAGCAGTCCACTGAAGGTGAGACGACCTAGACCTTGGTACTTGACTGGGTCTAGAGGAAGGCATAAAGAAGCATGGATGGTCATAACCCTACTTAAGCCCTCTATTCACCACCACGTCCCCAACTTATCAGTGTCTCTTGTGAAGTCTTGTTGCCACCCAGGCATCCTCCATTGGCCCTCTGGATTTCACTTTCCTCCACTGCTCTGGATTTACCCTCACTTAGAAATGCTCCCCATTCTCTCAACTCCCCTCACATACTCTCCGCAGCTAGGTCTCGGCTGAGAAAGGCTGCGTCCACGTCCTCCAGGAGCACCAGGCTCTGCTGCGGGGCCACGCTCAGCAGGTGGTTGAGCCGGTCATCAGAGAGGCTGGAGTCCGTGAGACTCAGCAGGCAGATGCTGTGCTCCAGTTCCCCAGCCAGGGCTGTGCTGTGGAGGATAGGATGACGGAAGGCAGGCCACCTGGAGTCGGCCTTGGGTCCAAGTGCTTGTCCTTGCCATAATGGGTGGGTCTCAGAGACCTAACCTTTCTATCACCCCACCGTAATGCTCCAGTGTCCCATGTGTATCCTGTTCCCCCATCCCTACACTGAACTCCCTTTCCAACCCCACAGCCCAGTTTTCCTCCAGTTTAAGGATCAAGAGAAAATGTGACCCTACTCACATAAAACTGCTTTTTCCACAACCAGGGGGCCCATAAAGCAGGTAGCCACGTCTGTAGGGAATGCCTAGGAACACAGCCAAGATGATCAAGACCTAAAATGAATTCAAGTACTCTACCTCAGATGTCCATATTCATTCCCAACCCTGCCCCCTAGTGGCCTGATGACCTCAGTGCTGGAAGAAATCACCGGTCAGGGCAACTTTGATCTCTGAGAATTACGCTACAGCTTTATGGTCACCGCATATGACCACAGAGACCAGCCTATCTTCCATGCTCAAAAACAGCCTGGTTAAGACCCCGGTCGCTTCTCACCTCTGTCAGTGTACCACTTGGGGTTATCGATGAATTCCCGGATATCTCGGACAATTCGGTTAGCCAGACCCTGTTCTAGAACCACAGAATTCAGTGGCCGGCGGCGGCGTGGATAGCCAAAAGGGCGCCATTCAGAGCCCATGGCTGTGTACATCACCGTCTTCCCTTCCTCCTGCTGCAAGGCTAGCTCTCGAGCTAAGAGGGAGAAATGAGACAAAGCCAGTAATTCGTCTTTGCCATGCAATTAGGCAGACCTGTGCCAAGACAGCTTCCCTCTGGTCCCACAGGTTCTGGTCCTCCTCTCCAAGCTTCTCTTCCTCTGATGTCATATGCCCCTATTCTTGCAACCTGCCTCCCCCCACCCCGCCACGCCCCCATAAAGGCAGCCTGTGCCATCCCACACCTTCCTCCAGGATGTTGAAGAAAACCTTTCGGTCAGTGCCCAGAGCTGTAAAGGTGACAGATTCCCAAGGAGTCCCTGTCTGCAGGTCTATCATCTGCATCTCTCGGCTTCGTTCCACTCGGATCCATTTCCCTTGGTACCTGAATAAAAATGGTCAAGATGGGGTGAATGAATGGGTCAAATCCAGTTCCCCTCATTCTCCTTTTCTACTCTTAGAGCCCTCCCTGGCTCCCAACCTTACCAGATAAAGTGGTTTCCAGGGCTGGGGACAAATTCAAACTTAGTGGAGATGCGCCCACTCTCATGCTGAAGGTAGGAAGTCTCCACACTGAGGTGCTGAGTACGGGTACTGTGGCGGGTGAGCCAGCTAAGCAACCAGGCATAGCTTCGGTCTCGAGCAGGGACTTCCAGTGTGATCATGTAATGGCGCCGGAATGCCACCAAGCCCAGTTGGGCACCCTTCCGGGCCAGGGCCAGGGCCGTGCCCACACCCACAAGCCCAAATCCAGCCCCAAAGTAAGGATTGTCCTTCAGGGCTAGAATAAAGTCTGAAAGGGGCATCTTGAGAGGGAAACACTGAACCTTACAGGCTCTGAGGCATTTTCAAACCTGAGGGTAGGGAGCGGTGGAGATGGGACAAAGCAGATTAGTTTAGAAAGGACTCTGCAATTCCTCCTCACCCTCACCCCTCTCTCCCTCCCTCTTCACCCCTCCCTCCCACAGAGGCCAGGTGCTGGAAGGACAGGTCAATTCTGCTGTGTGTTGTCATATCCTCCCTTTGTGGGATGGAGGTCGTGCTGGAATGCAAGGGCTGAGACTTCAGGCCCCTCTTCCCATTTTGGCCTTCATTATCCTGTTCATAGCTCAATTTCCTGCCAGAAGACTAGGTCTGAAGATTCCTTTAAACAAGAGAGAACAATGTAGCCAGCTTCTCATCAGGATAATGGACAGAATTTTTGTGGTCCCTGGGCCTAGCTAATAGAGAGAGACCCACTGTCCAGAGTTAACAGAGGATGAAGAAGCTACTCTCTTCCATTGACCTGTCAGTAACCCCACGCCTTATCACCATGAATAATGCCCCTCAAATATCCTCTCCTTCACATGCTCAAATCCTAATGTCCTGTTTAGTTAGCCCTTTATTACCTCGCGACTAAACTGCCTCTTTAACATTAATTTTAGTTTTCAAAATGTCACCTTAATGGGTCTCTACCTCTGACTTCACCAAATTTGCTACAGAGGGATCCAGATCTTTCTTCATACAGTCGGCTTCAATCCAATGGCTTGTTCTGAACAGATCCTTTAATCGGGTAAAAATTCCTCTGCCTGGTACTCAAAACCTCCACAACACAGAGCTTACCTATCTTTCACTGCTTAGCGCCTAATACTCTCTGTTGTACGAATATGCTCAAGCAGGTCTCTCTACTCGGAATGCCCATTCTAATTGATTCTTCCTTCTCCCCAATTTAACACCTGTCCATTTGCTGCTTCCTCCACGGACATTTCCCCCGACTTCTCCCTCAATAACACGTGACCCAGTCTAATTTTAGACTGTAAGATCTCGAGGGATTGCAAGTCACATTGTTTCTAGCACACCTTCCCGACCCCTGCTACTTTGCTGTGAGCGAAGCACGCGGGGCTGTGAATTGAGAGCCGGTACCACGGCTGAAGCTCAGAGTAGAATCCAGAATGCCAAAATACTTATGCGTGGAAGGCCACAGACAAAGCTCTTCCCCCTCCCGGCCCTTGTCTGACGCCCAGAAGCCCCTTCCCGAACCCTTTCCACACCCCAGCTCGCGCCTCCAGCAGCGTGGTTCGGAGTAACCCCTCACTCCGCCCCCTTACCGCCATGACTCTCTGGCCCTCCCTCTCCATGGTTTCAGCCCCGTGCTCTACAGGGAAGCGCCGCTCGGCCCCGCCCCGGCGTTCCTTCCCCTACTTCCCGCCACACCCACCTAGCGGGCCGTGCCACTCTGCCCCACAACTCTCGATGGTACTCCTTGGGCTGCGCGGCTGGGAGAAGGGGGAAGGGGAAACGCCGGAGAAAACCATAGAGTACCCCGCCAGCCGAGGAGAGGAAGAGAGAGCGGCCTCCATAGGCCCGATGTCCTAGAGGCGGCTGGGCCGGAGGCGGTCGCACAAAAGGAGTCCCGGGAGGTCGCTCCTGCAGCTGACGGACCGTAGATAGACACTGCTCCCGCGGGCGTTGGGCCGGGAGGTGAGTTAGTGGCTGCGGGGAGGAAACTAGTAGGGAGTGCCTGTGGAGCGGGCCGGAAGCAAAAGTTTCTCGAACCCCAGGATGAGGGTGGGCCTGGGCGGTGGGAACCCCCTGGAGGAGGTGCTGAAGGAAGCACGCCGACGATTGGGGCCCCGGCGCATCCCAGCAGCCGTCCTGGTGCCTCAGCCGCGTCACTGCTTTGAACCCCGCCCGGTTACCCGCTGCCTCTCCTCAGGACCGTAATCATGACGATGCTCCATCCTAAGCTTTGCAGGTTACAAAACGGCTTTCCCATTTGCTGGCTCTTGTGATTCCCGCTCCCGCCCAACGATGTGAACGCTGTCAACACCTCCACTTTACAGATGGGAAAGCTGAGGCCCTGGGAAGCGAGGTGACTGTATCTGTCTGAGGCCACGCGGTGAGTCAGAGCCCAAAGGCAGGTGGAAACCCGGGTGCCTTTGTCCCCACGCGGGGTCACATTCTTTCCCCAGGCCTTCTCTCTGCATTATTTTGTCCCTTTTCTTCCTCAACGCCTCTGCCCCCAAATATGTGCTCATTTCTCCTCTTGTGTCCACCCGTCTCCCACCTCACCCGCCTTCCAGCGGCTGAAGGTTCAGATTTTCAGGTTCTTGATCTAGACGGCACCGTGTCCTCCTTGGCTCCCAGCAGAGTAGCGAAAAAATTCTGTAAGTGGAGGCTGTGGTTTCCAGAGAATCCTCCGACCCTGGAAGTGCACGTCCCAACTACCTTTCGAGGTTTTGAGTGCAGGATTCACACCTGCAACCTGATTTCCTTTCCCTAAGCCCTTGACCTCCAAGACTCAATTTCATGGAGTGATTACTGTCATAGGTTACTTATTATTCAGCTTAAGCTAATTTTAGCCATGTATGACAGGATATGCAATTTAGTTGGCATTCATTTCTCAACTGTGTCCTAGTGTTTTCAGTATGAGGCCAGAGTCAATGAGTTTGAAATTTCTCTTGGTGTGTTACTCTATATGTAAGGAACCACTGATTCATCTTTGTGGAGACCGAGCCTCCCTCTAATGCATCTCTATGTCTTCGGTGCTTCACTAGAATCTCATTTGTCTCACTTGTCATAGATTGTGGTGGTTTGTGTTCAGAGAAGTGATGTGTCAGTCAGTTGCACTCAGAAAGCTCTAAGTCTAGAGAAGCTGACTGATAAGTAAACAGCAGTGCCATATGACAGAGTTTCTGACAGAGTTAGGTACCAGGTGCCATTAGGACCCCAGGGAGAGGAACTTACATAAACAGTGTCAAGAAGCCTTCATAGCAGAAGTGACATTTGTGCAGATGCTTAGGGACAGTTAGGAGTTGGTTGGCCAGACAAGAGATGGAGAAGGAGAAATGGTCCATCAGCCAAGAGAGGACAGAGAGGCAGGTGGGAGGGTATGGAGCAAAAGAGAAGGCGGTGAGCCTGGAGAATGGCAGCTCATTGGTATGACTGGGTCTGTTGAGGGGAGAAGTGGTAGATGAGTGTGGAAAGGTGAGTGGAGGCCAAATCATGAAGGGAGGGCCTTGTACCCATACTGAGGAGTAGTGAGATCATAACATGTTAAGAGGGGAAGGGACGTCTGAGATCCCTTGGCCCGAGTTTTGTTGCAGCTAAGAAAACTGAGACCCAGATTGCTTAATTTCACCAGGGTTGCCTAGCTCCAAAAAATGTAACCTTCCGTCTTTAATGTATTGCCCAAAACTTGTTGGCTCTCTTCTGATATTGATCCCTATTCTCATTTGTTTACTTTTTGGTCTGAGCATTGTTGTACAAGCTTCGAGGTGAACCAGGTGTGCCATGCTGCCACGCCTGGAAATGCCTAAGTGGGCAGGCCGTGGGCCGTGCACCCATGTCACGTGGGAAGAAAGTGAGTGAGGTCTCTAACTATATTTTGTTTGGGTTCTCTTCTGATTGGCGTGTCAGCACATAAGAGACCACAGAACACCAGTCAGTGGTGATGACAGACCCCGTGTTGGACTCACCGCCAACCAACAGCACTGGGGAGATGGATGGACTGTGCCCTGAGCTATTGCTGATCCCCCCACCTCTGTCCAACCGTGGAATCCTGGAGCCTGTCGAGAGCCCCTGTCCTGCTGGGAACCCCACACCTCTGCCTGCTGACCCCGGCTGCCTGCTGGTAGAGGCCACGGCAACTGAAGAGGACACAGGGAACATGGAGATCATTGTGGAAGCGGTAGCTGGAAACCTGTCCCCAGGTGCTCCTGGAGAGACCCCAGGTACAAACACAGTTGCTACCAGGCCAGTGGGACAATCAGCCCTGAGGTTTTGTCTGTGCTATTTTTGACCCTTCTATGTAAATGTGACGAGAACACAAGGTAACATCTTATTTTTATTCTTGGAGATGTTGTCGTTTGATTTGCAGTTGGAGAATGTTGATTGAAGGCTGGCAAGGTGGTTCACAACCTGGTACCAGGCTCTTGGCAGAGTCTATCCCTGCGAGGGCTTCATGTCTGCTAGGCAGTAATCCAGAAGGGAAGACCTTTCTGACCCCTCTGCCCAATCCTATAGCCCTCGGGGACTCTTTCCCACATGTTGACCTTCCCACTCGGGAACTGCGGCCAGGGATTAGGCAGCAGGCCCAGTGCCTCCACCACGCTGGGCTTGGCAGGGCTTTCCCAGAGGTAATCTGGTATTTCCTTGCCCTAGTTTCTTGTGTATAACATACTTAACTCATCCGAGGCATGTTGTCAAGAGTGGGAGTTGAACATTTATATTTATGCTAGGAAAAAGATTCCCCCCTCTAGTCTTCCCATATCTACAACTTCTTATTTTTAGGTAACTTCCCTGCTGTTAACTGCCATCTCCAGCTCTGGCTGTCATAACTTCCCTTGGCAGTGTAGTATGGTGACAGCAACTACTGGGAAAGATTAGCTAATTTGATCATAGAGTATTTGTAACCTTCTGTGTAATGAAACAAGTAAGAAGGAAAAAAACGAACCTGGAAAAAACATTTGTAATACATAAGGAAGAGTTAATATCTTTACAATTCAAAGACTTCTGAAATAAGAAAAAGAAATGATGTTTTGGGGGGGTTTGTTTGTTTTTCTAGAAAGGGCAAAAGAAACCTACAGGCACTTCAATAAGGAAGAATAAAAATAGTCAACAGCCATAAGGATGTATAATCTCACTAACACAAATAAATTCCAGTTAAAAATAATTATGAGGGGTGCCTGGCTGGCTCAGTCAGAAGAGCATGTGACCTTTTTTTTTTCTTCTTAAGTGTATGTATTTATTGAGAGAGAGTGCACAAGTGGGGGAAGGGCAGAGAAAGAGGGAGAGAATCCCAAGCAGGCCCTGCGCAGAGCCCGATGTGGGGTTTGAACCCACAAACTGTGAGATCATGACCTGAGCCAAAATCAGGTATCAGCCGCTCAACTGATTGAGCCACCCAGTGCCCCAGAGCATGTGACTGTTCATATCGGGACTGTCAGTTCGAGCTCCATGTTGGGTGTAGAAATTACTAAACAGAAAAATAATAATAATGAACTTTAAAAAAATTAATGAAATGGGGCACCTGGGTGGCTCAGTCGGTTAAGCGTCCGACTTTCGCTTGGGTCATGATCTCGCGGTTGGTGGGTTCGAGCCCCGCGTCGGGCTTTGTGCTGACGGCCAGCTCGGAGCCTGGAGCCTATTTCGGAGTCTGTATCTCCCTCTCTCTCTGACCCTCCCCTGCTCACACTGTCTTTCTCTCTCTCTCCTAGAAATAAATAAAAAAATATATTAAAAAAAAAATTAATGAAATGCCTATATCGCTTCTCAACTGTGGTAAAAATTAAATATTTTTTTTATAATACTTAGCGTTGGTGGGAAAACAGATAATTGTCTTATAGCTTATGGAGTGTGTAATTTACCATAATTGTTTGAAGGTCAATTTATCTGTATAATAAACTTTAATTTTTTTTTCATGTTTTTTTACTTTTGAGAGAGAGAGACAGAGGCATGAGCAGGGAAGGGGCAGAAAGAGAGGGAGACACAGAATCTGAAGCAGGCTCCAGGCCCTGAACTGTCAGCACAGAGCCTGACGCGGGGCTCGAACTCACTGACCACGAGATCATGACCTGAGCCAAAGTCAGACGCTTAACCAACTGAGCCAGCCAGGTGCCCCTATATAACAGACTTTAAAATATGCGTACTCTGACCCCATCATTACATTTCCAGGGCTCTGTCCTGTAGAAAGACTCACACACACACACACACACACACACACACACACACACACAAGGAGTCGGGGTAAGAGGGTGTCTAGAGCAACTTTATTTATAATGCTTGCAAATAACCCAAATGTCCATCAGTAAGAGCAAGACTTCATTTTGACTTGTTCATGCCAGGAAGTACTCTGGACTAGACAAAAACATACAAGCTAGATCTAAAGGTACTCAGCAGGGGCGCCTGGGTGGCTTAGTCGGTTAAGCGTCCGACTTTCGCTTAGGTCATGATCTCGCGGTTCGTGGGTTCGAGCCCCGCGTCGGGCTCTGTGCTGACTGCCAGCTCAGAGCCTGGAGCCTATTTCAGTCTGTGACTCCCTCTCTCTCTGACCCTCCCCTGCTCACGCTGTCTCTCTCTCTCTCTCTCCTAGAAATAAATAAAACATTAAAAAAAAAAAAAAAATTTTTTTAAAAAAAATAAAGGTACTCAGCAAAAAAAGCATCTGATATATATATAGCAAGCGGAGGGGGGAGGGGGAAGCAAATTGCTGAGAAATGACTAAAAAAGGCCTGAAAGAATAGACACCAAATTTTGTGGGGGGAGGGGGGGTATTTTTTTCCTTATGTACAGCTGTTATTTGAGTTGTCACACTAAACTTTTATTTAAGCAAAGAAATAATGAAGAAAGGGTCCCCAGGGTAGATGTGGCCTAGACCTGGACTTGAGACCTGGTTCTGCCATTAACAGGCACAGTGGCCTTAACCTTGGAACTCCAGGCTCCTCTTCTTAGAGGGCAACTGGAGTACCAAGTGAGTGTTTCCTAAGCCTTTCTTTATCAAGGATCTGCCCATTGCTTAAGAAATGGCAGTAATGGGGCGCCTGGGTGGCTTAGTCGGTTAAGCATCCGACTTTCGCTTAGGTCATGATCTCGCGGTTCGTGGATTCGAGCCCCGCGTCGGGCTCTGTGCTGAATGCCAGCTCAGAACCTGGAGCCTATTTCAGAGTCTGTGTCTCCCTCTGTCTCTGACCCTCCCTTGCTTACGCTGTCTCTCTCTCTCTCCTAGAAATAAAAATAAATTTAAAAAAATTAAAAAGTTAAAAAAAAAAAGAAATGGCAGTAATGACTATGAACGTGATTTGGGTCTTTGGGAAATGGATGTTTTCCATTTTATGAATTACTGTGCTTTTTAAGATTGCCTTTACAGAATGTGAAAGTAATACTTTGTCATTTACACTGTAGATATTATCCCCAGATTGTCGTTTTCTTCTTTTGGAAGTTCCTAATTTTTCATCTGGGCAAAATATATTGTTGCCGTTTCCTAATGCTTTCTGGATGTGGTTAATGCTGTTAATGCTTGTTGTATTCATTTGGCAAATATTAAATACCTATTTTGTGCCAAATACTGTGTTAGATACTGGGAATCCAGTTTTAGTATGTGCCAAAGCGAGCACTAGATACTGGGAACCCATGTGTATGTGCAAATAAAGAGGCTGTCCTGACCTTATGGGGCTTACAGTCCAGGTATAGAACCAGACTTAAGGTCTGTCTCCACTCCACTAATATTAAAAGATTCACCTTCGTCTTCTCCTAGCAGCTAACTCCTGTGAGTCTCGTTCCTTCTGATTCTGTGCCTTTCTCTCTCGGTCCTCTGCCTGCAGGTGTCCTGGTAAAGGTGGTGGAGTTGGAGGTGTACTACTGTGAGCGATGTGAGCAGAGCTTCGCTGAGCCCACTCTGCTGGCCCTGCACCAATGTCCTGAGACCCTTATACAGCCTCTGCAGGGCCTCTCTAGCCCCCCATGCTCTGTAGAGCTGACCCCTGGCAACCTCAGTCTCTCTGGCCCTCTGCAGGGCCACGGCCTCCCAGATAGCCCCCTGCCATGCCCTGTGTGTCGGCAGGAGTTTGCCCAACCCCAGGCCCTGAAGAGCCACTTCAAGATTCACCGGGGTGCTCCCAACACCTTCTCCTGCCCAGAGTCTGGCTGTGTGTTCTCCGCTGAAGATCGCAAGGGCCTGCAGCAGCACCTGAGGCAGGCCCACGCCACGGTGCCCGTGCCCTGTTCTTTCCGAGGCTGCCCCCTGCTCTTTGGGGACCAGCAGGGCATGGAGCTGCACCGGCGGGCCCATTACCCTTTCCACTGTGACCACTGCAGCTTCGTGGGCTCCAACGTCAAACTCTTCCGGCAGCATCAGCGGAGCCACGGCGCCGGGACCCAGGGAGAACTGGCTGCCCTTCAGGGCCTTCCACCCCAGGAGTTGCTGCCAGGTATGAGGCCACGGGCCCTGGAATGCAGCCACGGCCAGTCCTGTAGGATAGCCAGTTGATTCCAGTGCCACGAATATACACACAAATGCAAGGGAACATGGAGCAGTGGCTCAGGAGGACAGCATTACTGATTGCCTTGGGAAGCATCTAGAAACCTTGGAACAGTCAGAATAGATGAGACAAAGAGCAAGTCTTTGTCCGTGACAGTGAGTGACATTTGGCTTTGGCTACGCCGTGGCCTTGAAGTCCCCTAACCAATATCCTTTTTCGATTCATTTCAGAGCTTTCTGAGGGGAAAAGCTAAAATGTTCATCAGTGGCCATAGCCACTGGTAGAATACCTGTAGACTTCCATTTTGAGCAAGTAGGGTTGGGCCAGAGAAGCCGGGATTATTTTAAAAAGAAACCTTCAAGGAGGGTGGGGCTTCACGGATCCTTCACGGTCTCAAAAAAACAAGCATGGGGTTAGAGTACAGGAGAAAATAGAGAAACCGGGCCCGGAGAGGTGGGATTCTGCTGAGAGACTTAGGCTTGCTAAAACCTGTTGGTGCTCTGTTCCCAAAGAGAAGACCCCCTTTTTCCTGGGAAATAGTCCTGCATCTTTGCCTTACTGAGGCAGGTGCCTCTGTTGAGGGATGGAAGGGATAGATGAGTATGACCCTGCCTTGCTGGTGAGGCCTCTCAGTAGAGCAGTTAAGAGGTCAGGCTGTGTTCACCTGCACCGAACCACCAGCCATTAGCCCTGGGAACCCAAGCCAGGGAAGTGCTCTGCACCCATTCTGTCCCTGTCAGCTCCCCGCCCCCCTTCCCCTCGCAGTGATCTCAAAGCCCTTGCCTTTAAGGGGTCTGAGGATGGTGTTATCTGACATTTGATTTACTCTAGGTTGGAGCACTAATGATAGCTTAGCTCTTGGTCTTCCCATCTGTGTCTTGAGAGGTAATAAATTCATAGACTTAGAATCCAAGAATTCTCTTACACTGCACGGGGAGGGGCTGATTCCGCCAGCCAGTAAGAGGAGCAGTACGAGCATTCACTGCTGTCGTTGGCTTCTCTAGATGTCATCAAGTTTTATGTGTCTCCAGCTCCCAGAACGCCCTCCAGAGAGGGAGAGCCTTCAAAACAGGCAGATGCGCCCTTGCCCAGGCGAGAATCAGCTGACGAGGAGGACGTAGAGAAAGAGGAGGCGGGTGGCACCCTGAAGGACCCCCAGAAAGCCCCAGAGAAAGCCCAGGGGGCCCAGCAGGGAGAAGGTAATGATGTGGTTAGGCTCGAACCTCTTGGTGGTGGGAAGGAATGGATTGTGGGGAGCCTGGCATTGAGGCTCCCAGGCTTTGGTTCATTTCCTGTGTTCTTACCCTTCCACTTTGACATGTCTTGTGGAAAAATGATAAATGACTCAAGACTGCAGAAACACATCACGGGTAATAGAGTTTGCTCTCTTGGGCCTGTTTTCCTCGGAGATGCTATTGTTTGGGTTCCTGGAGAGGAAGAGGAGAGGCCGCATAATATTTGTGCCTGGGCAGATTGTGGGTCGCCCACTAGGTGGCCAGCCCCTGAGCTGCCTTCCGTACCTTTCCCTCTCCCAGGGAATGTGGCTGCTGGCACCGAGTCCCTCTTTAAGACGCACATGTGTCCAGAATGCAAGCGCTGCTTTAAGAAGCGGACCCATCTGCTGGAGCACCTGCATCTCCACTTCCCGGACCCCAGCCTCCAGTGCCCCAACTGCCAGAAGTTCTTTACCAGTAAGAGCAAGCTCAAGACCCACCTGCTGCGAGAGCTGGGCCAGAAAGCCCACCGCTGCCCGCTGTGCCACTACAGTGCCGTGGAGAGGAACGCGCTCAACCGCCACATGGCTAGCATGCACGAGGACATCTCCAACTTCTACTCAGACACCTACGCCTGTCCCGTGTGCCGCGAGGAATTCCGCCTCAGCCAGGCCCTCAAGGAGCACCTTAAGAGCCACGCGGCAGCAGCGGCAGCGGAGCCCCTGCCCCTCCGCTGCTTTCAGGAAGGCTGCGGCTATGCGGCCCCCGACCGCAAGGCCTTCGTGAAACACCTGAAGGAGACGCATGGCGTGCGGGCCGTGGAGTGCCGCCACCACTCTTGTCCCATGCTCTTCGCCACGGCCGAAGCCATGGAGGCCCATCACAAGAGCCACTACGCCTTCCACTGCCCACACTGCGACTTTGCCTGCTCCAATAAGCACCTGTTCCGCAAACACAAGAAGCAGGGCCACCCCGGCAGCGAAGAGCTGCGCTGCGCCTTCTGCCCCTTCGCCACCTTCAACCCAGTGGCCTACCAGGACCACGTGGGCAAGATGCACGCCCACGAGAAGATCCACCAGTGCCCTGAGTGCAGCTTTGCCACCGCCCACAAGAGGGTGCTCATCCGCCACATGTTGCTGCACACTGGTGAGCTGCCTTCCCTGCTTCTGAGAGCGAGAACGCGGGAGGGTGGCGTGAGGAAGGGGGCGGCAGGAGTGAGCCTTACCGTGCACGAGACACGGAAAGGACCTGGCGTGCGTTGGACCCAGTCTTCCCGGAGATAGATCGAGCCTTAAGCCACGGGACCCTTAGCTAGTCCCGTGGTTGAGCTCCTGAGCCAAAGCCTGTGTGCTCTCACTGCTCCGCTGCCATGGCTCCCCCTTAAGGCCCCGTCCAGTTCTGCTTATCCTTTGTCAGGCTGGTCTGGGTCGATGCCCAGCCTGTTAGAGCGAAGGAGCCCAGAGCAGGAGAGGTACCTTCCTTTGTGACCCAAGCATTGAGATGTGCTGTGAGAGGTGGCGCCCGGGAACTGAGCCATCCGCATAGGTTGTAGCCACTGACTCTGAGGCTGAATCTGTTCCCAGCATCGCCAATGCCCTCAGTGACACGGCCACATCGGGCGTCCTGCTACAGCATCACCCTGTTGGCGCTCTCTCTGCCAGCAGCAGTAGGTTGACAAGACATTAAAAAATAATCTCCAAGATTTTGGGGAAGACAGTTTTTAGGTAGCTTGGGGCCAAGCCATTGTTGTTCCCCTGGAACAGCTCATTTCTACACATGCTTTAGTCGCCACACCTCGTTTTCCTGCGGCCCCTCCTAAAATCCTCCATCCCTACGGTGCTTTATAGTTTTCAGAGTTCTTTTAGATCTATCATCTCGTTGAATGCATAGTAACAGTCTTGTAAGGAAAACAGGTGAAAAAGAGAAAATGAACATTGAAATGGCCCGTTTCAGGATCACACAGCTAGTATCAGAACTGGAGCGAGAATGCCGCATTGCTTGCCTTTGACCACAGTGAATGGGCTGAGTGGATAGGCAGGGATCACAGGGAAGGGTCCTGAAGGACCTGGTCTTGACCATCTATCTGGACCGCTCTTCCCCAAGTCCTTGCTGGGCACCACTGAGGACCCTGGGACATTTCCTTTAATCTGTCAACCATGAGCAGTTGGTATTTTGGTTGCCCCCTCTTTGGAGCCAAGGAAACTGAGCCTTGGAGGGGTTAAGTGACCTGTCCAAGGCCACACAGTAGTAAGCTGGGATCTGAACCACCACTTAATAGCTCTGTGCTTTCCCTCTGCCTCAGCTTCTTTTTCTGTAAAATGGGGCAGGTCCTCCTCCTGGGGCTGTTGGGAGGAGTCAGTAAGAAGGGACCTAGTATGTAATGAGCATCATATATATGTTGGCTGTTCACATCTTTATTCCCGTGTCAGACCCCACAGTCCAGATTCGTAACTACTTGGATTGCCTGATTTTTTCTCCTCTTCCACAAAACCAGAAGGAACTAGGTTAAGTGGAGCAGTTGGCCACCAGTGCCAGCAAGGATCAAGGGTAGACTTCCAAGCTGGTTTTGGAAAGCACGGTCTTCAGTTTCCTCCTGGCTTGCTCTGTGTCAGAGCAGAGAAATTGCGAGGACTGTGGAGCAGCACTGGCTGTCATGAGCCACGCCGCGGGCAGCACATGAGGCTCTCACTCCTGCTTGGCATCAGGGCAAGCTTGTGGGGGAACATGGTCTGTCTGCTCGCTCGGTCTGTGTCTGACCTGTGTTCTCTCTCCTCTTCCCCTGACCCCCACGCCCCGCTAAGGCGAGAAACCTCACAAGTGTGAGCTGTGTGACTTCACGTGCCGTGACGTGAGCTACCTGTCCAAGCACATGCTGACCCACTCCAACACCAAGGATTACATGTGCACCGAATGTGGCTATGTCACCAAGTGGAAGCACTACCTGAGCGTGCACATGCGGAAGCACGCAGGGGACCTCAGGTACGGGCACACGCACGCCTCCATCCCTGTCCCCAAGGACCTTATGCCAAGCTAGCCTCCCCCTGAACTCAGCTTGCTCTCCTGGTCCCATAGCAACTCCTTCTGTCGCCGCTCTCTGCTCCTGTCTCCTCAGCCCCATTGCCTATAGCTGGTCTCGGCCTGGGCCCAGTGTGCACGGTGACAGCCCTCTGGGCTCAGGGAAGAGAGCACAGGCCTGTGGATGAAGGTGTCCCTTGAGTTCTGAGTCCAGTCCTGTGAAAGTAGGGAGCCTGCACGTGTGACCCTAACCCAGGCACGTTTCCCGGAAAGCTGTGGCACAGCTGGCCAGGGGGTTTCTCCTAGCCCCCATGCCTCCGTGGGAGAACGGGACCTGGGCCCAGAAACCTACCCCGGGAGGCTGTAGCCCCATCAGCTCCTTAGGAGTCCACAGTAGCTTGCCGATTCATGCTCTCTTCCCTTTGGGGAGCAATGCAGAGGGGCCGGAGCACAGACCGTGAAGCTCGGCTGCCCTTGCCCTTCGTTTCCTTTGTAATCTCAGGCAAGTTATTAACTGCCGTGCTCTAGTGTGCTTGCTTCTAAACAGAAGCCTATGTCACAAGGCGGTAGAAAAAGAATAAATTAGATGATGCATATAAGGTACGGAGCGTAGAGCCTTGTCCGTAATACGTGCTTGTTTACGTGTCACGAGAGAGTTTATGATTGTGATTTTTGCCCCTCCCCCACCCTCTTCTCACCAGATATCAGTGCAACCAGTGCTCGTACCGCTGCCACCGTGCTGACCAGCTGAGCAGCCACAAGCTGCGCCATCAGGGCAAGTCCCTGATGTGTGAGGTGTGCGCCTTTGCTTGCAAGCGCAAGTATGAGCTGCAGAAGCACATGGCTTCCCAGCACCAGCCCGGCATGCCTGCCCCGCTCTACCCCTGCCGCTACTGCAGCTACGAGAGCCGCCACAAGCAGGCGCTGCTGAGCCATGAGAATTGCAAGCACACCCGCCTCCGGGAGTTCCGCTGCGCCCTCTGCGACTACCGCACCTTCAGCAACACCACCCTCTTCTTCCACAAGCGCAAGGCCCACGGCTACGTGCCCGGGGACCAGGTGTGGCAGCTCCACCATGCCAGGCAGGAGTCAGAGGGGGCCGGGCAGTGCCTGACACCCCCACCAGACTCCGAGCCCTCGAGCCAGCTGTCTGGCCAGCCCGACGTGCCAGACCGGGACCCCGGTGCTGTGCTGGACCCCGGCTTGGACCAGGCCCCACTGGAGCCCAGTGAGGAGGACCGTGCCAGGAGACCGGACGGCAGTGAGGTTCCACGGGGAGACAACCCGGTCGGCAGCCCCAGTCCGGCCGAGACAGATGAGGGTGGCTGCACGCTGCACCTCGAGGCCCTGGGGGTAGAGCTGGAGCCTGTGGCTGAGCCGCCCCTTGAGGAGATCGCTGAAACCGCTTCTGCAGAGTTCAGGCCCCTGGATCCGTCCGGGCCCCTGAGCCTGGAAGGGCCAGATGCAACTTTGACTGAGCTGTCTACCTTTGAAGGTGCTACGACGTCTGGTTTGGATGCTGAAGAAGAGCCCGTTCTGGAAAAGCCAGTCCCTGAAAGCCCCGGAAACCCCCCTTCCTCGGAGGAGCCCCCTGACAGCTGGGCGGGAGCCTTCAAGGCAGCTCTGCCTGCTGAGACCGCTCCCCTCCCCCAGTTCCTGGAGTCAGAGTCCTTACTCAAGGCACTGCGGAGACAGGACAAGGAGCAGGCGGAGGCTTTGGTGCTAGAGGGCCGGGTCCAGATGGTCGTGATACAGGGAGAGGGGCGGGCCTTCCGCTGCCCACACTGCCCTTTCATCACCCGCCGGGAGAAAGCCCTGAGCGTGCACTCGAGGACTGGGTGCCAGGGCCGCCGGGAGCCCCTGCTGTGCCCCGAGTGTGGGGCCAGCTTCAAGCAACAGCGTGGCCTCAGCACCCACCTGCTGAAGAAGTGCCCTGTTCTGCTCAGAAAGAACAAGGGCTTGCCCAGACCAGCTTCACCTGTCCCTCTGTGTCCTCCACCCCCTGGCACCCAGGTCCCAGTGGATGCAGAAGGGGGGAAGCCCCCACCTGCACCATTAGAAGTAGAGCTGGTGCTCCCAAGAGATGCTCCCTCTGTGTCTTCCCGGGAGCCAGAAGAAGTAGAGGAGCCTCCGGGCACACCCTGTGTCTCTGCAGCCCCTCCTGCAGGTAACCCCTCGCCTGCAGAGACCCCTGAGAAGTTCCGCTTCGAGCAGGGCAAGTTTCACTGCAACTCCTGCACTTTCCTTTGTTCTCGACTGTCCTCCATTACCTCTCACGTGGCTGAAGGCTGCCGGGGGGGACGTGGTGGGGGAGGAAAGCGGGGGGCCGCCCAGCCCCAGCCCGCCGAATCCCTCCTAAGCGAGGGAGACTCTGCTCCCCTGAATGGCGGAGGCACAGGGTGCAGCCCGGGGAATGGGGACACGAGTCTGGTGCCAAAGCAGAAGGGGGCCCGCTTCTCTTGCCCCACGTGTCCCTTTAGCTGCCAGCAGGAGCGGGCTCTGCGGACTCACCAGACCCGGGGCTGCCCCCTGGAGGAGTCTGGCGAGCTGCACTGCGGCCTCTGTACGTTCACAGCCACCGCCGCTGCCACCCTGAGGCTGCACCAGAAGCGGAGGCACCCTGGCTCGGCGCCCACACGGGCGCCGCGGCCACCTCTACAGTGCGCAGACTGTGGCTTCACCTGCAAGCAGGGCCGCTGCCTGCAGCAGCACCGGCGGCTCAAGCACGAGGGAGTGAAGCCACACCAGTGCCCCTTCTGCGACTTTTCCACCACCAGACGGTACCGCTTGGAGGCGCACCAGTCGCGACACACCGGCGTTGGCCGCATCCCCTGCAGCTCCTGTCCCCAGACCTTTGGTACCAACTCAAAACTGCGCTTACACCGGCTAAGGGTACACGACAAAACACCCACCCACTTCTGTCCCCTCTGTGACTACAGTGGCTACCTTCGCCATGACATCACTCGCCATGTCAACAGCTGCCACCAGGGCACCCCCGCCTTTGCCTGCCCGCGGTGTGAGGCCCAGTTCAGTTCCGAGACGGCGCTCAAGCAGCACGCCCTGCGCCGACATCCTGCGCCTACGCCCCCCACCCCCGGCTCTCCCGCCGAGGCCAGCGACGGCCCCCTGCACTGCTCCCGCTGTGGGCTGCTGTGCCCCAGCCCCGCCAGCTTGCGAGGGCACACCCGGAAACAGCACCCGCGGCTGGAGTGCGGGGCCTGCCAGGAGGCCTTCCCCAGCCGGCCGGCGCTGGACGAGCACCGGAGACAGCAGCATTTCAGCCACCGCTGTCAGCTCTGTGACTTCGCAGCCCGGGAGCGGGCGGGCCTGGTGAAGCACTACTTGGAGCAGCATGAGGCGGCGGCGGCCTTGGAGGGCACGGCGGGTGCCAGCCAGCCCCCTCTGCGCTGCCCCTTTTGTGACTTTACATGCCGCCATCAGCTGGTGCTGGACCACCACGTGAAAGGGCACGGCGGCACCCGGCTCTACAAGTGCACCGACTGCGCTTACAGCACCAAGAACCGGCAGAAGATCACGTGGCACAGCCGCATCCACACTGGGGAAAAGCCTTACCGCTGCCACCTCTGTCCCTATGCCTGTGCTGACCCTTCTCGGCTCAAGGTAAGGTCCGGGGCCGTGGGGACTCATCTAATCCCAGCTGCCGGTTATTAGCCCCGGGACCTTTGTTGAGCCCCTTGACTTCTCCAAGCTTCAGATTCCTTACCAGTAAAAGAGATAGAATACTTCATAGGCTTGTTACAAAGATAAAATTCCATCATATGTACTTGGTATGTGACGAAGGTAGGTCACAGTTTGGCGGCAACCTGCATAATAATGGCTAATGTTTATTGAGCATTTACTGTATGTTGGACACTGATTTTAATCCTTCCAAAACACAAGATTGAGTTGCTTTTGCTATTTCTTCTGGAGTTTATTTCAGAGTATTACACTGCGAGGTAGGGGTTAAGCGCCCAAAGGCACAGGCAGCAAATAGTAGAGCTGAGATAGGGCAGACGTAGAGGTAGGCCCAGTGGGGTAGGTTGGTGTCCACGTGGCCAGACTGGGGAGCCCGCTTGGTAACAGAAGTGTGGCTAGGATGGGAGCACATCCCTTGAGGGTCAGGGGTGCACATGTTCTGGGCACACTCTGCTCTTCCCTCCTCCAGTACCACATGCGGATCCACAAGGAAGAACGCAAGTATCTGTGCCCTGACTGTGGCTACAAGTGCAAGTGGGTCAACCAGCTCAAGTACCACATGACCAAGCACACAGGTGAGTCTGTGCGGTTTCAGCAGGCCCACAAGGATCCCCCCATTCCCTGGCACGCCCAGCCTCCTGAGGGTGGGGGGTGTCCTTACTCAGATTCAGGGTGCTTGTCACTTTTCACATCGGGGGTAGGAGGTAGATTGAATGGCCAGAATAGCTTCCCCGCCCACTGAAGACCTATCACAGTCAGAAGAGAGGTGAACCTGAGAGCCTGGCAGTGTGCACTTCTTAATGCTTCCCCAGGGATCCGGGCCCTGGGTCACCCACCTCTCCCCTGGAGAACTCGAATGTGTGGCTGAGGGAGGTCTCCTCGGTTCCTGCAGACACGAAGGAACTGTTATGAGTAACGAAGAGAACGTAAAGGGTTCACTTGTTTTAACTTCATTTTTCTCTCCTGGGTACGGAGGCCATGAACTATAGCTTCCCAGGAAAGAGTTGCTGATGCTGATGTCCAACATACAGTGCTTGTGATTACTGTGTAGGATTCCCCCCCCCCCACCAATGTAAAGGAAGTAACCAGATGCACATCAAGGTACTCTGCATCTGTGAACAACACTTCTTTTGCTTCTAGCTCTTTTTTCTTGAACATTTTCTTTTACTGTTTGGGTTGAGCAAGGAGTTGAATTTAAATGGATTCCCAAATTCCATGAGGACCCCACAATCAAAAGAGGGTTAGACTCTCCCATTTGGAAACCCTGTTGTATTTGAGTGACTATTCATTGCTGTCAGGTGGCTACTTGGGAGTCAGTTATCAGCATCCCTTGAGCACTCCTCGTATACAAGGGTCTGTGTTGGGAGGGCATAGAAATGTCAGAGAAGACTGGAACATTCCAAAGATGGAGTCATTAGTCACCATGCTGCTGGTGTTTTTTGTGTCTCAGGATCATGGCGACTCTTACTGCGCCCTAAACGTTGTTCGACTCCCTTCGGTAGTAATTTGTTCCTTGTCCTTGTTCTGTCCTCCAGGACTGAAGCCATACCAGTGTCCCGAGTGTGACTACTGTACCAACCGGGCCGATGCACTGCGTGTACACCAGGAGACGCGGCACCGGGAGGCCCGGGCCTTCATGTGCGAGCAGTGCGGCAAGGCCTTCAAGACCCGCTTCCTGCTGCGCACCCACCTCCGCAAGCATAGCGAGGCCAAACCCTATGTGTGCAATGTGTGCCACCGTGCTTTCCGCTGGGCTGCTGGCCTGCGCCATCACGCCCTCACCCACACCGACCGCCACCCCTTCTTCTGCCGCCTCTGCAGCTACAAGGCCAAGCAGAAGTTCCAGGTGGTTAAGCATGTGCGCAGGCACCACCCCGACCAGGCCGACCCGAACCAAGGAGTGGGCAAAGACCCCACCACCCCCACCGTGCACCTGCACGACGTGCAGTTGGAGGACCCGGGCCCCCCTGCTCCTGCTGCTCCTCCGACCGGACCTGAGGGCTGAGAGCCTTCCCCCCCCCTGCCCCCCTGGAGGGTGTGGTCCATGATGTGCAGACTGGAGGCAGCGTGAGCCTGGAGCTCAGCCTGGGGAAGGGCTAGCTTCAAGGCACCCCTTGAAGGGGGGCTGGAGGCCTCCTGGGACCCAGGCTACAGTACTTTGAAGTTGATGGCCATACATATAAAAGAGCAACCTGGACCACAAGTTGTTTTCCTGTTGAGGCACGCTGTTTTTAACCCGTGAGTTCCTGCTTTCTTCACCATCCCTCTGCCCAGCTCCCTGGCTCTAAGACGTTCGTTCTACCCATTCTGTCTTCCCCTTTCTTCTTGCCATCAAGTCCTGTTTTCTGGCAGCGCCCCCAGATCTGCTATTTCTAACTGCATGTGCTGTTGTGCCTACTTCTCTCTAAAGCATGTTGAACAGAGTGATCACTAGCTTACAGACTCGTCCGCGTCCCTGACTTGGCCTTCCCGGGCTCTCCTCTCAATCTGCCCTGTTCCCTCGCAGACCTCTGCCTCTCCTTTGTCTCCTAATGTTTTCACTGTGTGATTCTGAAATGGGCCAGGTCCTTTGTCTCTGTCTTTGAGCCTGTCCTGGCCCCTGCCCTGCTGCTTCTTGCCAAGCCCTTGGTCAACCTATAGAGGGAGGACCGCACCCCCTCCTCCCCCCCCCGAAGCCTGCTCCCGGAAGCAGCTCTAATTCAGCACCCACCCTCAGCCTGGCTCCACAGCCACACTAGAGTTAAAGCACAGGGTAGTGTGAAAGGCAGATGGTTTGGGGGAGTGGGGGCTGGCGTGACTCTCTGATCCAGACCTCAGCAACCGGACGATTAATCGTCTACACTGGGACACCGGGAAAATGAAAGAGGGTACATTTTATAATTATGCTGGGACAAGAGACGTAAACCAGGACGATTCCAGGTAAACTCTCAGCAGGGTTGGGATCACATAACCCTTTGTCTCCTCCTCTTGCCCTTAGAAGCCACACTAATGGACCTGTCTACGTTACGCAGCACATGCAGGGGGGCCCTGGAAATTTCCAGTTTTTCTACCCTTTCCCTAACAACACCTGTGTATCCAGATGTCTCCCAACCTTCATACCTTCTCTTGCCTGACAATGACAGACCATACCCGAGCATAAGTGGGGAGAAAAGCTCTATTTGTACAAGTGGGGCTAGGGAAGAGCAGTCCAGGGGGGATGCGGCCGTGCAGTCTTCTCTTGAGAGTCTGTGTAGTCTTGGGATCAGGTCTCCTTCCCCACCCTTTGCCTGGGGGACCTTGAGGATTGGTCTGTCCTTTCCTTGGCTCTGAGCTTTGAGGAAGTTGGAGGCAGGGATGGGTAATGCCCCTTCGCGTTTCTCTGCTCCTAGCCCCTCTCCGGGTTTCTGGTGGCAGCCAGCCTTTGAGCCAGGGTTGATGAAAGAGATTCATCCTAGATCTGGGTGTGGGATTGAGGCTGTGGCAAGAGGAAGGAAGGAAGGCCAGCAGGGAGTATGCACAGGAAGGGGCAGAAAAGATACCACAGATGGAAAAACGAAGAAAGGGAAGAGAAAGCAAGTGAAAAATCAGGTCCTGAATTTGCTTGTTAGGAAGGGTGAGGTAATTTTGTGCTTAGGAATGCACAGCCCAAAACTTTGTTTTCGCCACCTCTGTTTGCTTTCTGGAGCGTCCTTCCCGGTTTTTCTTACCGTCTCAAGCCAGCGCACCCACCCTTCCCAAGAAGTGCCCGCCTTAGGATTCATCCTCCTCCAGCCCTTCCTGGGTGCAGATATGCACGAAGATGGAGGCCGGATGCAGGCTGGTGCCATCCTTGGAGAGCAGATGGATGTGGCGGTAGCCTGGAAAGGGGCAGGAGGACCGCATTAGGAGGGCAGCCGGAGCTGGGGTGTTGGCCAGGGTTTGAGGCACCGGCCCACCTTGTTGCATGCAGGTCCAGGGTAGTGTGTACTGCCCGATAAAGTCGTTTCGGGTCTTCCAGTTGTAATCCTGTACCACAAAACGCAGCAGGGCCAGTTCAGGCACCAGGACCCGGAAGCATAGGGTCTGTCCCCAGTATGGATTAAAACCTGAAGAGGGGGTGAAGGAGGGAGGGAGTGAAGGGACAGATCGTTGGCTGTTTTCTTTAGGCCCATCCTGGGCCGCCGTGCTTTTTAGAGCGATCCGCGTGAGGGGACAGAGGGGAGGGGTGGCGGCCCGGAGTGGGTAAGCAATCTGCCCGGGCTGCTGGAGCTTCTGTGTAAGGGGCCAGTACTCGGACCCAAGATGTCCAGGCCCTTCTCTGTCCTGTTCTACACTGCTTCTTCCCGTGGAGGTGGGAGAGGTGGATGGTGACGGGGACTGTGCTTCACGGGGGGGGGGGGGGGGGGGGGGGGGGGGGGGGGGGGGGGGGGGGGGGGGGGGGGGGGGGGGGGGGGGGCAGCATGGGAGGAAAACAGTCGTGCTCCTCCTGTCCCACCAGAACTGCCTCGTCTCACCGTTGTTCTCCACGTAGCTCGTCTCTTGCCGGGTTGTGTCTGGGCGGATGCCGAAGATCTCCACTCTCACCAGTGGATCCACAATGGACCTCTCCTTAGTCATGTCCTCCTTGGGGAGTTGCTGACCACTGATCACCTGCAAACGAGACTCTGGAACCTCACTAGTTCCTGTTCAGCCCGGCCCCACTCCAGCTCGCTCTTACACCCTGGGGGAAATGGGGGAGGGGGGATGCACAGGACCTTGCGCTACAGCTTCTAGATTTGGGTAATACATTCTCTTCTAGTAATCTACCTGCAATTTAAAATGCATCCGAGTAGAAATTTAACAAGGTTTGGAAGCAGGTATGTTCATGTCAGCAACCTCTTTCTAGCACTTACTCTGTCTGCACCAGGCATTGTTGTAGGCCCTTTGTTAATCGCAACAGCCCTGTGAGGTGGGTAGTCTCATCACTCATTCTACAGGTGGGGAGCCTGAGGTTAAGGAACCTGCCCAGAGTTACACAACCAGTGAATGGGTTTAAACCAAGGCAGTGGCTCCAAATTCCACACCATTCATAGTCGGGCTCTGCTGTCCTGTGAGGAATTCACCCACCACACTCTTGCCGGGCCCAGCCATCTCTCCCCCCTGCTCCTGTCCCAGCTACCTTAGGCTCTTCCCGACCCTTTTTCCTCTCCCTGGTACCTGGATTAGGAGGGTCTGGGCTTTGAAAGGGCTGACAGGCCTCTCGGGGTGGAAGGAACTCTGGGCATCGCGCAGGAAGTCGGGCTTCAGCACGTAGCCACAGCCACCGTTCTGGCGGAAGAACCCATCGTAGATGTCCATCTCCAGCCCCGCGGTCTGCACATTCATAGCCACTGAGGGCCCCAGGAGAACAGAGAAGGATCCATCTCAGGAACCATCTAGGCCCTCTTCCGGGGGATTACGATGTATTGGGTATAAAAGGGCCTGCTGGGAACACCCCGCATCGAGGGCATCTTTCTTGGTCAAGCATTCCCTGGCCCTCTGGGCACCTGTTGCTCTTCCACTCCCTCCCCCTCGCCCCTGCCGCCCCCTCACCCATCTGGCAGCCCACATTCCAGAGCTCCTGGGGGTTGTAATTGGACGAATCTGTCCTCAGGCCACTGGGATACACACGGCTTAACTGCCAGGCGTTGTGCTGCACAAACTCATTGCCTGCAAAAGGGATATAGTAGGGAGATGGCAATGGAGCGGATTCCACCACTTTCCTGGTTCCAGGCACTTCACTGTGGTCTCTAGCACCCCCGAGGCCAGCTCTAGAAGGCTTCCCCCATGCCTCTCTGTTCCGTCCTGACCCGTCTCCCCAGCCTCCCTCCCTCTAGCGCTGTGAGCCCACTACTGCTACTCCTGCGAGGCCCGGCGCCTGCTCCCTCATCTCTCCTTAGCCCCTTCGTCCTATTTCTTGGGACTCCTCTGCCCGCCCAGCAGCCTGACCTTATCCATCCCAGTTCCCTCCCTGGCCCTCCCTTTTGGTCCTGACCAGCCTCCTTGATGAGGCTCTTGGCCTTGGTTTCAGAGAAAGATGATGTCTCATAGAAGCGGTAGTGCTCCCTCGAGTGAGCAAAGCTGTGGAATGAGACAGACTTCAAGTAGACAACCAGGGCAGAGAGGGTTGGACACAAGACAGGTTTGGATTTCTGGGAAAGGAGAAAATAGAAAGATGAAATCAAACCCTCGGCCACCTGAGCGGGAAGGGGCCACTGGCCAGGAACTGAATTTCCCCACCCGGCCTACGCCTCTGCCCACTGCCTCCCCATTGCATTCTCCCTCCTGCCTCACCTGCTTGGGAAAGAGAACGGACTCAGGCTTGGAAATAGGAGCCTGAGCCATAATCTGACAACAGACAGGCGTACAAAACAGCGGACACATCACAACCTGGGGGTGGGAATGGGAATAAAGGCAGTCTACATACACTGATGGGATCAGTTTCAGCTTCTGGGCTTAAAGGGTCTGCTCTACAGTTACTTTCTGGGTAACGGTTTGTAACTTAATCTTAAGCAGAGGGGTGTCCTCCCCCCTACCTCTCGTCTTTTAAAACAATAGTAAATGTTGTCAAAGTGTACACGAACCCAGACAGCCATGCCAAGGTATGCCAATAGGCATGGAAGTCACACCGGGAAGGATGTGGAGGGTCCCAGAGTAAAAGCTTTACATTTGTCTCCTGAATTCCCATTTCCTTCCCTGGACATGGTAGCAGGTTAGACACCGCAGCCCCAGAGACGACAGGGTAAGTGAGCAGTTAGTCAGCGAAGTCAAGGAAGTGCACGAGAAGCAAAAGCAGACTTCCAAACCAGGATCTTGGCGGACCCACCAATGGCACCCCTTCCCCCACAGGGAGATGGACTACTTTGGCACAGTCTGACTGAAGCCTTCGCCTTCCCTGACTCTTTCTGTTCCTCCTTTTTGGCTATTTCCGGCCCCTTCTCAGACTCACCTTTTCCAAGAAGCTTTCTCTAAGCTCAGTTTAGATGAGGCCACAGGCGTCCCTCCAAGAAGCCCTACTTACCCAATACAGTAGCACAGTGCTCCTGTCCCCTCTCTCCCCTTCCCTCCCTCCTTTCCTCTCTCTCTTTGTCTCTCTGTCTGTCTGTCTGTCTCTCTCTCTGTCTCTCTCACACACACACACACACCAGTGGTTTTCAAACTGGCCTTTAAGACTGAGAATTAGTACCAAAGATGTCTCAGGAGGAGGGGAGCCTGGTTGACTCACTCAGTTAAGCATTTGACTTTCGGCTCAAGTCATGATCTCATGGTTTGTGGGTTCAAGCCCCATGTCAGGCTCTGTGCTGAGCGCTCAAAGCCTGAAGCCTGCTTTGGATTCTGTGTCTTTCTCTGCCCTTCCCCCCACTTGTGCTCATGCTCGCTCACTCGCTCTTTCTCTATTTCAGAAAGTAAACATTTAAAAAAATCTATTTTAGGGGCTCCTGGGTGGCTTAGTCGGTTAAGCGTCCGACTTTCGCTTAGGTCATGATCTCGCGGTTCGTGGGTTCGAGCCCCGTGTCGGGCTCTGTGCTGACTGCCAGCTCAGAGCCTGGAGCCTATTTCGGAGTCTGTGTCTCCCTCTCTCTCTGACCCTCCCCTGCTCACTCTGTCTCTCTCTCTCCTAGAAATAAATAAAAATATTTTTTAAAAATCTATTTTAAAAGCTGTCTCTCAGGAGTCAGCGGGGTGACCCAGGAGGGAGTCAAATGGGTGCTCCCACTAGGCTAGCTCCACATTTATCTCTTTGGCATACGGAGCTCTCATATAACATTTCATTCAAAAAAGATGTCATGGCCCAAAGCAGTTAGAAAGCCACTGCAATCTAGTTCTCCCCACATGACCACATATAGCAATGCCACCCCTATACCTCTTTTACTGGGGGCAAGGGGCATTTTGCTCCTGGGCTGGCTCTAGTGCCTCCACACGTGAACTCAGCTGGTGGTACAGACCGACCTAACGCTAGAGCGGAAAGACCACTCTCCTGGCCCACCTTGTCCTTCTTTTTGTCCTTACTGCGGGGGCTCAGCTCCTGGGGCTCAGACTCAAACTGAGCCTCCAGCTCCGGCTCAGCTTCCTGCTGTCCCTCCAGTTCAGACTCTAGCATCTCCACTTCCTCTTCCTCAAGGTCCTCCTCAAGGGTCTGTAACTTCTTCCCTTTCACCAGGATCTTCCCCCGAAGCTCCTGGGGGTAGAAATGAAGGGACCTGTTCACCTGTCTGCTCTGGGCCCCTCCTCGGGACCATGCAGCGCCCACTGCTCTGACGGGACCACCTCAAAGATGGGAAGTGGGTGGTCAGGAGTCTCCACAGGGAGGCTGCATGATACACAGGATAGGGATTCCCTGCCATTAAGCCAACTGGTAACATCTCTATCCGTTTGGAAAACAATACATGGGACCCCTTACCTCGATTTGACACATAAAAACTCCTCCCAGATTAAAGATTTAAATGTAAAGAACCTAAGAGTATTAGAAGAAAACACAGAATCTTTTTGAATCATCTTTGAATAGCATTTAGAAACAGGAGGGAGGGAAACAGGAGAAGAAAACTCAGAAGACATAAAAAGAACCAGCAGACAATAAACTATACGTAAAAAATAATAATAAGTAAAAAAAAAAAAAAGAACCAGCAGATTTGACTACATAAAGCTTAAAATCCCCACTATGGCAGAAGATGCAGTAGGACAAAAACAAAGACTGCAAAACCAGATATTTTCCAAAGATATTATCAATATCTGTAACATTTAAAACCATGTTATAGGGGCACCTGACTGGCTCTGTCAGTACAGCATGGGACTCTCGATCTCAGGGCTGTGAGTTCAAGCCCCGTATCAGGTGTAGAGTCCACTTTAAAAAAATAATAAACGGTGCCTGGGTGGTTCAGTCCATTAAGCATCCGACTTCGGCTCAGGTCATGATCTCGTGATCTGTGGGTTCAAGCCCCACATTGGGTTCTGTGCTGACAGCTCAGAGCCTGGAACCTGTTTCAGATTCTGTGTCTCCCTCCCTGCCCCTCCTCAGCTTGTGCTCTGTCTCTCCCTGTCTCAAAAATAAATAAACATTTAAAAAAATTAAAGAAAAAAAACAAACACAAACCAGGGGTGCCTGGGTGGCTCAGTGGGTTAAGTGTCTGACTTCAGCTGAGGCCATGATCTCACGGTTCGTGTGTTCAAGCCCCACATTGGACTCCGTGCTGACAGCTTAGAGCCTGTAGCCTGCTTCAGATTCTGTGACTCCCTTTCTCTCTGCTTTTCCCCTGTTCACTCTCTGTCTCCCTCTGTCTCTCAAATATATATATGTATATATATATATATATATATATATATATATATACATATACAGTTATATATATGATATATATATATAAAACTGTAGCTATAGTTCCTTGCGTAGGAATCATCTCTGTAAAGCAAACAAACTTATTATATATTAATAAAGATTATAAACCTGGGGCGACCTGGGGTGCCTGAGTAGCTCAGTCAGTTGAGCATCTGACTCTTGATTTTGGCTAGGGTCATGGGACTGAGCCCCAAGTCAGACTCCACGCTGAGCATGAGCCTGCTTAAGATTCTCTCTCTCTGTCTCTCTCTCTCTCCCTGTGTCCCTCCCCACCCTGTGTGAGCTCTCTCTATCTAAAATTAAACATAAAAAAGATTATAAGCCCAATAAAAGTGGGTAAATAATATAAATTAATTCAAGAGAAGAAAATATAATATAGACCTCTCTTTTTTAAAAACTTGAATTTTTCTTTCTTTCCTTTTTTTTCTTCACATTTGCCACTATGAATCATCTTACTACTGGAGTTGTTTGTAGTCACTCTTTTACACTGTTAGTTGGAATGCAATTTGTTTTTTTTCCCCCCAGAGGGCAACTTGGCAATGATTGCTAAAATATCAACATGCAAACTTTTCAACACCGCAATTTTACTTCTAGAAACCCATCTCACAGAAAGAGTAAATGGACAAAGCTGTATGTACAAGTGAAAACTTAGCAACAACCTGAATGATTACCGTTTTACTGTTTGAATAGTTATGGTGTATAACAGAAAGTAGAATACCACACAGCTCTTAAAAGGAGAAAAATTTACATGAAAAGGCATCCATGGTATATATATATATATATGAGATATAAAAGAGATATAGAAAAGGATCCTATGCATGCTTTTAAAAAGGTAAATATATATACACATGCATGTTTATATAAGCACTAAAAAAAATCTATTGACAGGGCACCTGGATGGCTTAGCCGGTTGAGTTTTCCAGCTCTTGACTTCAGCTCAGGTCATGATCTCGAGGTCATGAGATCAAGTCCTGGATCAGGCTTAGTGTGGAGTGTAACTGACCCCTGCTTGGGATTTTCTCTCCCTCTTTCTTTGCCCCCCCCCACTTTCTCTCTCTCTCTCTCTCTCTCTCAAAACAAAAACAAAAACAAAACTTTAAAAATCTATTAACAGCTGCTTTCGGAGAGGTTGAGATGTGGGTGGAGGACTTCCCTTTCTGTATGTTGTTTGTATGGTCTACCATAATTATGAACTATCAGGAAAAAAAGATATTTCCATTGAAAAAAAGAAATAAGTAAATAATCGATTTAAAATTCAGAGAACTATAAACAATTCTGTGTTCCATCGCATTTTTTAAACATTGAAGTTGTTGGGACATTGGGTCATGGGATTGAGCCCCACACTGGGCTCCATGCTGAGCGTGGAGCCTGCTTGGGATTCTCTCTCTCTCAAATAAAAAGTTTTTAATTAAAAAAATTTTTTAAAGTTGCTCCAAGATATTAAAGAGTGAGAGAGTCCATCCAAGTGTGAGAAGAAGGGCACAGGAGGGGCACAAAGGAAGGGGCCGAGATGGGGTGGGTGTGGAGGCCACGGCGGAGCCCAGGCTGGGGGAGCACGGTGCCTACCTCAGGCGAGGGCAGCTGAGTGGGCAGCAGCCCGTCCAAGGTTGTGCTCAGCAACTGCTCCCCCAGGATCTCGGTCAGATGCTGCGCGATGACCTGCTGCTGCTCCCAACTGCAGTGGTTCTCCAGGGACAGGATGACCGGGTAGTCTGATGTCTGATGGGGGAGGGGACGTTGGAGCCAGAGTTCTAAAGCCTGTAACTTCCTTACGTCTCCAGGGTCCCCCTGGTGACTCACTCAGCTGAGCACCCTGATGGCTAAGCTCCTCTGACCCTATTCCAGGTGTCAAGGAGGTCTTGCTGGGGCTGGGCCCCCCCCCACACGTTTAAAAGTCACTGTTGGGGGGACGCCTGGGTGGCTCAGTCAGTTAAGTGTCCGACTCTTGATTTCAGCTCAGGTCATGATCTCACAGTTCGTGAGCTCAAGCCCCATGTCAGGCTCCATGTTGACAGTTCAGAACTGCTTGGGATTCTCTCCCTCTCCCTCTCTCTGCCTCCCCCCAACTTGTGCATGCTCTTTCCCTCAAAAAAAAAAAAAAAAAAAGAAGAAAAAATTTAAATGTCCTTGTTGGGATCCCAAATCTGAGACCTGTACCAGGTCTGAGCCAGGTCCCTCTGGCCCCTTTGAGTTTTTGGCCTCAGAGTGGGAAAGCTAGGCCATTCCCTCGATTATGTGCTCATGTTAAACTCTCATCTCCTGATCCCAACTGTACCCTGGCCGTACCCACCACTTTCTCTGTTTCCTTATCCACCCATCTCCCAAATAGGTGAAAGTTATTCAAAGTAATGATTACTAATCTCTAGCAATTAACTCTATGCCTACTAATTACTGGTGATATATCCAACCCTTATTCATAATCCCTTAATACTTGCCTGATGTTTCACAGTTAGACATATATGCCATTTGATATGACCTCCCCTGTATCCCTCTCTCCTCTCCAGATCCAGAGCCAGCTGCTCCTCCCTCAGGTCATCTCCCCTCACCGGTGTGCCCATCCCGGGGCTCCTACCTGGAAGGCGTACTGTGCCACAGTGACCACGACATCTTTGAATGGGATGCGGGAGGTCAGGGTGTGTCCATGGTAAACGACAGGTTCCCCACCAGGTCCGTCCCATATATCCACCTCCACACAGCGGCACCCCCTCTTCAGGGCCCTGTAAGAACCCCAAAGCCCAGAGGACAGAGGGGGGTCAAGGTCTCATCTTCCGTGAGAGGCCCCTTACCCACTCTGGAGAGAACAGTGCCCACTGGCACTTATTTGTTAAGACCCTTTCATGCTATACCTCTGTGGGCCTTTCTCTGTGCACCAGGATACTGCCACAGCTCACGACACCTCCACCCCCCACCCCAGCCCACCCACCTCACAGTCCGCCTTCAGCGAGTCATCACAGATTGCCTCATGATGCTTCTGCTGTTCTGGTTGTATATCATTTTGTGACACTTGAGTTATTTAAACTTTTAGGAGGTTTGTTTGTTTTTAAAGTAAGCTCTGCACCCAACATAGGGCTTGAATTCATGACCCCAAGATCAAGAGTTGTGTGTTCTACCAACTGTGCCAGCCAAGCGCCCCTCAAACTCTCAGTAAATTTGTACTTTATTTTCTCTACTAGACATCCTAGGGCAGAAACAATATATTCCATTGATCTTTGTATGCCCGGAAGCTACTAGTTCAGTTGCTGGCACTGGAAGTCAAGATATCTTGACTATTTCATCTAACCATGAATAATCACAATAAAAGCAGGATACCACTTAGTAACTATTAATCCTCACAATTCAGGGGGAGCCGAGGTGGCTGAGTCGGGTAAGCATCCGACTCTTGATTTCGGCTCAGGTCATGATCTGAGGTTCATGAGATCGAGCACCACATCGGGCTCTGTGCTGACAATGTGGAGCCTGCTTCGGATTCTGTGCCTCCCTCTCTCCGCCCTTCCCCTGCACTGCTCAAAAAAAAAAAAAAAAAAAAATATATATATATATATATGTATATAATCCTCACAACTCAGACAGAATAGGCATTGTTATCATCCCTATTTCACAGATGGGGAAACTGAAGCACAGAAGGGTTAAATACTTAGAACCAGGGTCGCCTGGGTGGCTTAGTCGGTTAAGCGTCTGACTTTCGCTTAGGTCATGATCTCGCGGTTCGTGGGTTAGGGCCCCGCGTCGGGCTCTGTGCTGACTGCCAGCTCAGAGCCTGGAGCCTGTTTCAGTCTGTGACCCTCCCTCTCTCTCTGACCCTCCCCTGCTCACGCTCTGTCTCTCTCTCTCTCCTAGAAATAAATAAAACATTTAAGAAAAAAAAAATACTTAGAACCAGAGTACCAAGATCTGAGAGAGGTGGGATTTGACCTCAAATGGTCCTACTCCAGAACATATATTTCTAACTTCTATGTGCTACTGCCTTCTGTGTAACATTTACTTTATTTGTTCAAAATAAACCTGTCAGGACCTCTGGGTTCCAAGAGCATTTCATAGCCTATGAAAGAGAAAAAAGCTCCGTATACTCATAGAGTTTCAATACTACTCTCCTGTCAGTCTTCGACATGACCTCCAAGTCTCTCAGGTATCCTCAGCCCCAAGCCCCCCAGGACACCTTCTCAATCCCTGTTAGCTATGGGTAGCACAGATGGTCCCTTCTCATGAGCCGGAGCCCTTCCCACTACACCGTATATATCCCTCGACGCTGCTCTGGCCACAAATCTGGTCCCCCACTAGGTAGGTGTTGTGAGAGGAGTTGATGTAGTAGTGGCTCAAGGGTTGAGTCATATCTTGGTAGACGGGGAGGCAGGTTGGGTTGAAGATATCTCCGTCCTTCGAGCAGAGGTAGCTGAGGAAGCCATCCAAGCTCAGCACGTGTCGCACTTTGCCTAAGGTGTGGAGCAGGGGAATGATAGAGTGAGAAGCTCTGAGTGAGAGCATCCCGGCATATCCCCAGCCTGGCCTTCACCCCACCTCTCTCCAGAGTCCTGGCTTTCAGATGGTGTCCACTCCCAGCCTCTAGATCCCAAACGTGCCCCACCCACTCTCACTTGGATCACCATGGCCCTCAGAGAAAGTTAAAGCTACAAGGAGAATCATTGAGATTATTCTAGTCCAGAGGTGTCTGGGTGGCTCAGGTGGTTGTGTCTGACTCCTTATTTTGCCTCAGATCATAATCTTAAAGTTGTGGGATTGAGCCCCACGTCAGGCTCTGTGTTGAGCAGGGAGGCTGCTTGGGATTCTCTCTCTGCTCCTCCCCTACTCATGGTCTCTCTGTCTCTCTCAAAAATAAATAAACCAAGGGGCACCTGGGTGGCTCAGTTGGCTAAGCATCTGACTTTGGCTCAGGTCACGAGCTCATGGTTCATGGGGTAGAGCCCCGCATCGGGCTCTGTGCTGACAGCTAGCTCATAGCCTGGAGCCTGTTTCGGATTCTGTGTTTCCCTCTCTCTCTGACCCTCCCCTGCTCATGCTGTCTCTCTCTCAGAAATAAACAAAACATTAAAAAAAATGTTAAAAGATATATATTTAAAATAAATAAATAAACTAATAAAAAGTATTTGTTCAGAAAAAAGCCAAACCTAGGGCACCTGGGTGGCTCAGTCGGTTAAGCAGCCGACTTTGGCTCAGGTCATGATCTCACGGTTCGTGAGTTTAAGCCCCGCATCAGGCTCTGTGCTGACAGCTCAGAGCCTGGAGCCTGCTTTGGATTCTGTGTCTCCCTCTCCCTCTGCCCCTCCCCTGCTCACGCTCTGTCTCTCTGTCTCTCAAAAATAAATGAATGTTAAAAAAAAACCATTCTAATCCAGTGCTATACAATAGGACTTTCTGCAATGATGGAAATGTTCTATTCTGTGACGTCCAGTATGGTAGCCTCCAAACACATATGGCTAACTGAACACTTGAAGTGTGGTTGTGTGACTGAAGAAGTGAATTTAAAATTTTGATTTCAACTAGTTATTGTTTTTTAAGTTTCAACTTATTTATTCTTTTCAGTAATCTCTACACTCAATGGGGGGCTTGAACTCATGACCCCAGGATTAAGAGTCGCATGCTCTTCCAACTGAGCCAGCCAGGCACCCCGAATTTAGTTCATCTAAATTTAAATAGTCACACAGAGCTCAGGGTTACCATAATGGACAGCATAGTATTTAGTGCAACGGGTTGATTTTATAGATGGGGAAACTGAGGCCCAGAGGCAAACAAAGTCAAAGACTTAATGACACAACTGAGGTACCTGTGTTTCATTCCCTGGGCTGCGTAACTGCTGCCAACCGTGACCTGAGGGTTTCTTCCTATCATTGATTCCCATATGGTATTTTGAAGAGCAGTTGTCCAATATCCCCTTGGACTACATTTTTTTAATGTTTTATTTATTTTTGAGAGAGAGATAGAGACAGCATGAGCAGGGGAGGGTCAGAGAGAGAGGGAGACACAGAATCCGAAGACAGGCTCCAGGCTCTGAGCTAGCTGTCAGCACAGAGCCCGATGCGGGGCTCGAACCCACAAACCGTGAGATCATGACCTGAGCTGAAGTCAGACGCTTAACCAACAGAGCCACCCAGGCGCCCCTGGACTACATTTTCTTTAATGGCAGCGCCCTGTCACTCCTTTCATAGCCCTCACTCGTCTCAGCATGGGCTTCATACATACCAACAACGACGACTCATACTGAGCCCTTAATACCCAGAACATTCCATGCAGCATCTCTCTTAATGCTCTCACCAACATGATGAGGTAGATACAATATAATCTGCCCTGATAGGTTAGGTAACATAACTGATAAGTGAAGGAGCTGGGATTTGAACCCAGGCAGCCAGAGGTCCGAGCCACACCCATATCACTGGGCTGTGCGGTCTCCCTGAGGGGAACAATGCTGCACGGGGGTTCCCTTGGGAGGCCGAACAACTTGACTCTAATGCCGAGCTTCCTTGCTCCAGCTTTGAGAAGACCCAGCGATGGTGGAGCAGGGCGGTGGTGGGAAGTGAGACAGGAAGTTTTCTTCTCTACGGTAATAACTTACGTCACAAGGGTAAATCCACAGTGGCCAGATACATTTCATGTTCATCATTTCATTCGATAACCAATTATTTTACAAATGAGCAAACCGTGTCTCAGCTTGCCCAAGGTTACGCAGTTAGTAAAAAGGACGGTGGGGAAGAGGAGAAAGCTTGCAAAATCTTTGACCTCGGCCGCAGCAACTTCTTACTCAACACGTCTCCAGAGGCAAGGGAAACAGAAGCAAAACTGAACTATCGGGACTTCATCAAGATAAAAACTTCTGCACAGCGGAAGAAACAATCAGCAAAACTAAAAGGCAACCGACGGAATGGGAGAAGATATTTGCAAATGACATATCAGATAAAGGGTTGGTATCCAAAATCTAGAAAGAATTTATCAAACAATCCAGTGAAGAAATGGGCAAAAGACATGAATAAGTATTTTCTAAAGAAGACATCCAGGTGGCCAACAGACACATGAAAAACTGCTCAACATCACTCATCATCAGGAAAATACACATCAAAACCACAATGAGATACCACCTCACACCCATCAGAATGGCTAACATTAACAACTCAGGCAACAACAGATGTTGGTGAGGATGCGAAGAAAAAGGGTCTCGTTTGCACTGCCGGTGGGAATGCAAACTGGTGCAGCCACTCTGGAAAACAGGGTGGAGGTTCCTCAAAAAATTAAAAATAGAACTACTCTATGACCCAGCAATTGCACCACTAGGTATTTATCCAAGGGATACAGGTGTGCTGTTTCGAAGGGTGCACATGCACCCCAATGTTTATAGCAGCCCTATTGACAATAGCCAAAGTATGGGAAGAGCCCAAATGTCCATGGACAGATGAATGGATAAAGAAGATGCGGTATACACACACGTGCGCGCGCACGCACACACACACACACACACACACACACACACTGGAGTATTACTTGGCAATCAAAAATAATGAAAGCTTGCCATTTGCAACAATGTGGATGGAACTACAGGGTATTATGCTAAGCGAAATAAATCAAAGAAAGACAAATATATGACTTCACTCATATATGGAACTTAAGATACAAAACAGATGAACATAAGGGAAGGGGAGCAAAAATAATATAAAAACAGGGACAAGGACAAAACATAAGAGACTCTTAAATATAGAGAATAAACTGAGGGTTGCTGGAGGGGCTGTGGGTGGGGGGCACGGGCTAAATGGGCACGGGGCATTAAGGACACTTTCTGGGATGAGCACTGGGTGTTACATGTAGGGGATGAATCACTGGATTCTACTCCTGAAATTATTATTGCACTATATGCTAACTAGCTTGGATGTAAATTTAAAAATAAATAAATAGATGGGCATGGAGGAGGGCACTTTGGGGATGAGCACTGAGTGTTATGTAGAAACTAATTTGACAATAAACTATTTGTAAAAAAAAAAAAAAATAAATAAATAAATAAATAAATAATTTTTAAAAATGAAAAAGAAAAAAAAAAAAGAAGTACAGTGGGGAGTTGAGCCCAGGTCTCCTGATATGATTCTCCGCAGCCAGAGTATAGTATCTGTCAGGGGAATTCAGGGGAGGGAACACCCTGAGGGCCAGGTGGTAGAATAAATGAAACTGCACTGGAAATAGAAGATCCTACTTCTTAAGCCACTGCATTCTTCTTCTATTTAATTTTCTGAAATGATTTCTTTTTTTTTAATGTTTTTATTTATTTCTAGGAGAGAGAGAGAGACAGCATGAGCAGGGGAGGGTCAGAGAGAGAGAGAGGGAGTCACAGACTGAAACAGGCTCCAGGCTCTGAGCTGGCAGTCAGCACAGAGCCCGACGCGGGGCTTGAACCCACGAACCGCGAGATCATGACCCAAGCGAAAGTCGGACGCTTAACCGACTAAGCCACCCAGGCGCCCCTGAAATGATTTCTTTATAGCTCCCTTTCTTCTCTAAACATGAACAGGAATCTGGAATCAGCGATTCCAATCCTTTCTGTTTGACTCGAAGCTCCATGAAGGCAGTGTCCTTGCCCAACCTCTGCCTGCTGCCTCTCCGGTCCTGAGGTCCTGGTACATGACACGTGCTCAGTGAGCATTAGCTGACGTCGTGAGCGAACGAACGAATGAAAGGGCGTTGGGAGTCGAGACTTGGAAATGTGGGTCCCTTGTCCAGCTCTCATTCATCTCATCTCTAATCCTCGTGTTCCACAGAGGTATGAGGAAAGGGTGAAGGGACCCGGGTTTGAATCCTGATTCCTCCTCTCATTAGCTGTTGGCTTTGAGCAACTCAGTTGATCTTTCTAAACCCTAGTTCTCTTCTTTTGCACAACTGACTTAATAATGGAACCCACTTCAACGGGCCATGGGAAGGATGAGGAAACAAAAGGCATGTAGTGATGTTGGCACATGATGGGAGGCTTCGCAGTAGCCGAATAAAGATTATGCTTTTGATTTACAAGGTTGAAGGGAGGACTAAATGAAGTAAGCGATGTGAAAGTGCCTTGCAAATCATTTATTATTAATGTCAATTCCTGGAATTCTGAAGGGCATGAAGGGCAGGGGGTTGTCCACTGAAGGGGCAGGGAGAGAGGTCTGAGGGTTATCCATGCTTGCGAAAAGCTAGGTGACTGGCCTCCTCATCACCCCCCTCAGCCAGGGACTGACTAGCTTCCCTGGCCCAGGGCCTTAGCAATTTAAGAACTACTTGGAGAATTTGGAGAAAGTTCAGGAAAGGGCGGAGACCCAGCACTTAAAGGAACACCAAACAGGAACCATGAAGGAGCTAGAGGAAAAGGAATCGTATGCGCTGGAGGAGAAGCCAAAGCAAGAAGAACGAGGCTCTTCCTTTTCCCCCGGGGACAAATGTGGGTATCAGGAAGAACTTATTCCGAAAGTGAAGCTGGAGGATCTCTTCCACCGGAGAGATCTCGTATCACAGGAGACTCCTGTCTTATTTGGGAAGGAAATTTCTTCTCTCCTTCCCATGGAGTGGTTGAATGAGGTGAAAATGATTGCCCAGGGGTTGGGGTACGGGTGGACTCAGCCTTCCCTGAGTTAGGCAGAAGGCGGCTTGTCTCTAGACCTTTCTAATCCTGGTCCCCCTCCCCGCCCCATGGCCGGTGCCTCTCCACCCTCCAGCCCTCTTACCGCTCTCTGAAGGCTCATAGCGGTCGATGAGTTCCAGAGCAAGGTCAGAAGCTCTTTCTCCTTCATTCTGCTCCTCTCGGAGGAAATCCACAAATTCCAGCAGGGTCAGCTTCTGCCCATCGGCCGAAAAGTTTTCAAACACTTCCAGCACCTCAGGGCGCTTAGTCAGAGCCTTATAGAACTCTACAAATTCTTCTCCTTCCAGAGCCCCAGACTGGGATTCGTCTGCTGCCTACAAGCGAGGGTTTAGAGGATGTGGACAAATCCTTTTAAGAGCAAATTTTATGGCTTCGACTTGCCTTGTAAGGGCAGTCTTACTAACAGATGGATACAAACACACTTCCCCAGTATGCCCACAGAACACCTGACATTTAGTATTCATAAGAGCCACTTCGGCAAGCAAAAAGCAAACCTGTAGCCATACCATTTGCTACTAGAGAAAATTTCAATTAGAAAGAGTGAACTGCCCCCGACAAATGCCTACAAGGTCAAAAGCTCTCTCCTCCTACTTCCTCACATTCCAGTTGGAGTTTTCCATTGATACTAGGCACATGTGAAATTCCGGCTATGGACAGAGAGGTCCTTGACGTCTGACATAGTAATGTATGGTTTACCTTTCATAAGATTATGACTCATCTTTCTTTTTTTAATTAATTTTTTTATTTTTAAAGTTTATTTATCTGTATTGAGAGACAGAGAGCGTGAGCAGGCAAAGGACAGAGAGAGAGGGAGACAGGGGATCTCAAGCAGGCTCCACACTGTCAGCATGGAGCCCGATGCACGGCTTGAACCCACAAACCGTGAGATCATGACCTGAGCCGAAACCAAGAGTCAGACGCTTAACCGACTGAGCCACCCAGTCGCCCCCATGAATTGTCTCTCTAAGCCAACGGAAGGCTAAGAGCCACACCCTACCCTTTCCATCGAGCCTGGCATAGCGGCAGGGCGCACAGGAGAGATTCAACAAAGAGCGATGCTGGTCAGGGCCAGAATACTTCTGACCAAGTGGGAACGTGGTCTTGGCTGGCTTCTGAAAACCCTTCCCCAAAAGACTCACTTGGAAAAGATGCAAGGCGTAATCTTGGTCCATTTCCACGTTCATCAGGCGTAGTAAGCGCTGGACCTCCGGGAAGCTCATGCGGCCGTCCTGGTTCTTGTCTCCGCGCTGGAACCAGTCGCTCAGCCACCCAGGTGTGAGTCAAGGCAAAAGCACTGTGTGTGCGATTGTGTGTGCAGATGAGTGTGCATGTTCATCCACTGACATCCTCCCGCCTAGTATCTTCCCAGCCTCTCCTCCACGGCCAATGCACTTTCCACATGAGCTGCGAGAATAGTCTCCCCAGAGCACCAATCTATCTTGTCCCCGCACGGCTCGGGTGCCTGCAGGGGCCACCCTGTTGCCTGCAGAAAGGAGCCCACGTTTCCTAACACAGATTGAAGGTCTTCACCGCCATGATCTGGCCCCCACCCAGCCTTCTCATCACACCTCTTTTCCTCCCTGAACTTTGGCTCTCTGGTGTCCCACTCTTTCCTGCTCTTCAATGCCCTGCATCTGGGCCTTTGTATGCTGTTCCCTCAGGCAGGACAGCCTTTCTCTCCTTCTCTAGGTTCAAATTCTACTCTCTTTCAAGGCTCAGCTCAAATGCAACTACCTGCCTAAAGTTTTCTCAGAACTCTCTCAGCTAGAATTAAAAATTTCTCCTTCCTGGATTAGGAGGAACTTAACTGAGGAACAAGGGGGAGAAGAGAGGGGGAAATGGTGGGGGAAAGGGAGAGAGGCAAACCATGAGAGACTCTTGAATGCTGACAAAAACTGAGGACTGATGGATATGGGGGGGAGGGGGGATGGGCATGGAGGAGGGCACTCGTGGGGATGAGCACTGGGTGTTATGTGGAAACTAATTTGACAATAAACTATTTGTAAAATAAATAAAAAAAAATTAGGGGCGCCTGGGTGGCTTAGTCGGTTGGGCGTCCGACTTTCGCTTAGGTCATGATCTCGCGGTTCGTGGGTTCAAGCCCCGCGTCGGGCTCTGTGCTGACTGCCAGCTCAGAGCCTGGAGCCTGTTTCAGTCTGTGACTCCCTCTCTCTCTGACCCTTCCCTGCTCACGCTGTCTCTCTCTCTCCTAGAAATAAATAAAACATTAAAAAAAAACCTTTAAAATAAAAAAATTAAATGTAAATCTCAGAAAAAAAAATTTCTCCTTCCTTTGAACACCCACAAATAACCTAAGTCCCGTAACACTTCACTTCTAGGACACAGATTATTTACCCAATTCCATTTTTTTCCAACAACTAAAACCATGCCTGAGTCTCACTGATCTTCGTACTTCTGAACGGTGGTATAGTGGCTGATACTGTCTGCTTAATAAATGGGAAATGAATGAATGAATGAAGGAAGGAAGGAACAAATGCATGAACGAACTGGCAAGGAAGGTGAATACAATCTAGGAAATCTGAATCAGTCAACACCACGAAAGCTGCTTCCCAGTCCTTATGGTGGTTACTGCCACCGGGATCTTCGTTCAGCTCTCAAGATCAGTACCTTGTTTGGTCCTTTGCCTCTCGCTGTCCCTTCCACCAATCCCTTATGCCCATTCTCTGCCTGACTATGTTTTTTGCTATCCCAAGCCTCAATTACTCCTTTAATATCCTCTGCCTCACATGGGCTGGAGCTGCCCTTGCCCACCCCATCTGGCCTCTTAGACCTCCCTATCCCTGCACGCCCCCGCCCGTCCTTAGCCCGGCAGCCTCTTTCGTGACCCCTGGTTCCCACTCTGACTCCATCCTGCTGATACTGGTCCAGCCTCTCCTTTTGGTCCATGCTGGTGACAAAGTCCACCAAATGTTGGAGTCCCCGCATCCATATCTGGGCCTCCTCAACACTGCTGGCCACCAGGTCCAGGTTGGAGCGGCGGCCATGGAAGACGATGGTGAAGCCCTGCTCCAGGGGGAACTCTTCTGCCAGGCTGCGCAGCAGCTCAGACTCATGGCCCTCACGCACTGTCTCCACGTCAGAGATTGAGACTGCCAGAGAAGAAGCAAGCGGGGCACTGAGGAAGAGAATCCACCAAATTGCAGGGGTGAAGGGCCAGGGACCTGTACTCCCTTCCTCTCTGTGAAGCCACAGGGAAGAGGAACCCCAACCTCCACAGGATGAAACCCCCAAGTCTTAGTACAGGGAGGTGCAGACCCCTGGGATTCAAGATTCCCCATGAGTCACTGCCATTTTCATAGGCAGCATGGCAAGGGGCCTTGTGCGGGGAGTGGCAAGACCTGGCTTTTGGCCAGCAGCTGGCAGTATGACACAGACCAAAATGACTTAACCCCTTATCTGAAATAAGGGGTGGTCCCTTCTGTGGCCTGTCCACATGCTAGTGATCACTGACGGAAAGAAACACTCTCTGAGTCTACGCAGTAGCAGTTACACCAAAGCATGATGTGCCCAAATTCAATTCCCCCGTTCCAGGTTTGAGGGCTTCCTCTTTCCAGACGTCTAGGGGAGAGCCAGAGAAATTCTTCCACCCCCTTTCCTCAGCCGGAGGTGGTGTGGCCTGTGAGATTCGATTATATCTCTAATGCACACTCTTACATGTGTCCTGTGATCAGATTTTTAGAGGACCCGTAAGGCATCTGGCCAACAGGATGCACATTGTTATGCTGCGTTTATGACTTTTAAAAACATTCATTATCGTGGCTAATGTATTAAATGCATCCTGGTTTTAGGTCCCATGGTAAGTGCTTTATACATTAACTTATTTAGTCCCTGTAACCATCTCGGCAGATACTGTTTAATCTCCATTTTGCAGATGAGGAAACTGAAGCTTAATTTAAGTAACTTGTCAGCTCAGCCAGAGAGTGGCAGAGCAAGGGCTTTAATGCAGGCAGCCCGATGCCTGAGATCATGCCTTAATTTAATAGCGATACACTATAACCTGTGATTTATTGAGCTTTATTATAGGCTAGGGCTCCCCTAAGCCCTTTACACGCCATCGCTGGTTGAATCCTCATAAATAGCCTTACGAGGCAAGTGCCGTTATAAATTCCAGAGAGAGGAACGAGAGGGACAGCACAAGGACACACTGTAGGACCCCGGTCCCTCCCCTGCTCTCCAGCTGCTGGCCTCTTCAGAGTCCAGTCTACCCAACACGCCCACCCCTAGCTAACCACGTGACTCACAGCTGGGCTTGGCATTGCCTCCCGCCTGCCGGGCATGCCAGACTGTCATGCCGTCATCCTGAAGTCTGAAGTATCTTAGTTTCTTCCAGCTTTTGGACCTCACCTTGCGCATCACCATGCCTTTCTGCATCAGCAGCACCTCTTGATTGATGAGCAGCCCTGGGCCAGGAGAAGGGGCTGGCTGGGTAGCTGGCGGGGAGGGTAGAGGGCCCAGGAGGAGCTCTGGAACAAGGACCCGGACTCCTCCCCGACCCTGGGCTGTCTCCCCAAACCCTCGTCTCCTGCTGGGGTACTCACGGCCTTGATTCAGGGACGCCATCACCTCCTGCTCCACCAGCTGATGCCAGAGTCACCTACAGGAGCAAAGAGGAATAAAAAGCTTTGGGTTGGGGCACCTGGGTGGCTCAGTCGGTTAAGCGGCCAACTTCAGCTCAGGTCATGATCTCCTGGTTTGTGAGTTCAAGCCCCACATTAGGCTCTGTGCTGACAGCTCAGAGCCTGGAGCCTGCTTCAGATTCTGGGTCTCTCTGTCTCTCTGCCCCTTTTCTGCTCCTGCTCTCTCTCAAAAAAATAAATAAACATTTAAAAATATTTTTAAAAAGGGGCTCCTGGGTGGCTCAGTCGATTGGGCGTCCGACTTCAGCTCAGGTCATGATCTCATGGTTTGTGGGTTCGAGCCCTGCATCAGGCTCTGTGCTGACAGCTCAGAGCCTGGAGCCTGTTTCGGATTCTGTGTCTCCCTCTCTCTCTGACTCTCCCCTGCTCATGCTGTCTCTCTCTCTCAGAAATAAATAAAACATTAAAAAAAATTTTAATTAAAAAAGAAATTGCTTTGGGTTAATACTGGTAGTCTTAGAATAACAGATCAAAGGAGGAAGGGAAGGAAAGCAGTGTGCCTTGACTGGCCACTATATGCTAGGTAGTTCATCTACATAGTCTCCAGCTTTTTTTACTTCTAGTTTGAGTTTGGTAGACTCTGAGGCTTAGAGAGGCTAAGAAACTTGCGTCGAATCACATAGGGATTCAGAATTTAAAGCCAAATGTGTCTGATTCTAAAGGCTCTGCTATTTCCCATAGTCAAGTCCAGACAGGGCTACACCAGAGCCTTCTACCCAATACCCCACAGTCCACTGTGTAACCTATACTGTCCTTCTTAGCTCGTGATTATTAAGGGGCACCATCAAGCTGGCTTCCCCCTTTCAGAACCTGGAATCTCTCCCTATCCCAGCCTTCCCTTCTCCAGATGGAATGACCCCAGCTTCTCCATCTTGGGAGCCCTCTTCACACTCCTGTGCAGATCATCCAGCTCCTGGGGGCCGGGGCAGAGTGGCTCTTTTGACTCTTCTGTGACACTTAGTGCCATACTTGAAAAATGAGCCGTCTCTTTCTGCCTTCACATAGAAAAGCACATTTTATACTCTTTGGCTGAACAGTTATTCTCAGTTTAATGGACCAGGTAAGTTATAGAGTCTCAGAACTGCATTTTCTTAAAATTTTTAAATGTTTATTTATTTCTGAGGGAGACAGACAGACAGACAGAGAGTGTGAGCAGGGAAGGGGCAGAGAGAGACAGAGACTTAGAATCTGAAGCAGGCTCCAGTCTCTGAGCTATTGGCACAGAGCCCGAAGTAGGGCTCGAACTCACAGACCACAAGATCATGACCTGAGCTGAAGTCAGACGCTTAACTGACTGAGCCACCCAGGCGGCCCAGAACTGCATTTTCAGGTCTTCTCTACCTGCTAAAAAAAAGAGAACCTTCTTTAAGATCTATGCTAATTTAGGACCTGGATAAGTTGTCCTAGTAGGTAACAACAAACTTCCTTAGAAAAGAACTAGAAGACTTGATACGTAGTGCTTATAAGAAATTCTCAACTCTTTAAAAAAAAATTTTTTTTTATATAGTTTATTTATTTTTGAGAAAGACAGAGCATGAGTGGGGGAGGGGCAGAGAGAGAGGAAGACACAGGATCTGAAACAGGCTCCAGGCTCTGAGCTGTCAGCACAGAGCCTGATGCGGGGCTCGAACCCATGAACCATAGGATCTGACCTGAGCCAAAGTCGGATGCTTAACCAGCTGAGCCACCCAGGTGCCCCAGAAATTCTCAACTCTTGACACAATCTTTCTGGAACTGGCAAAGTTCCCGAAGCATAAAGCTCTATGCGTTGTATAATCAAAGGAATAGAATAGTTGTGGTTTTTAATTGATAAGTTAAAATTTTGACAATGGTGAGTATCTAAAACACAAAAAGCATCTCTAAAATCATTCAGGTGGCGCTCCATTAAAAACATTGTGCAGTTCAACTCCCTCTATTTAATAAATGAAAAGCAGAAGCCAGAAATGTGATGTGACTTGTCTCAGGTCAAAGAGCCTATCTCCGTTTAGTTGGAAGAGCCTATAAATAGGAAGAGCCTATAATCTTTAGGAAAAATGTGGGGGTCACTGAAAATGCAACTTCCCTGACTATAGGACCCAAAGCAGAAGTCCAGAAATGCGAGGGACCTAATAATGAAGTTTTCCTTCCTTCCTTCCTTCCTTCCTCCTTCCTTCCCTCCCTTCCTTTTTAAAAGTAGACTCCACACCCAGTGTACAGCCCAACATGGGGCTTGAACTCGCAGCCATGAGATCAAGACCTGAGCTAATCAAGAGTTAGATGCTTAACCAACTGAGCCACCCAGGCGCCCCTATAGAAGACTTAGTTTCTAAAAGACTAGCAAACATGCAGGGGAAGGGAGAGGGAGAGGGGAAGGTTGGGAACCAGTCTGCATCTAAGTGGGAAGGACAACTCGAGGTAGCTCTCGGGAGAGAGAGAACCCCGAGACAGTTCCAAAATGCAAAGGTTTTGCTGGCTGAGGCTGAATATGTGAGCCTGGGTGAGACCAGAAGAAGCCTCTGGATGGACGAAGGGGCCAGAGTGCTTCATGAGAGCGAGAAAAACAGCTCTGCTACTTTGGGTGGCAATGCATTTTGGAATCTAAGGCTGCAAAGCTGAATGGAGACTGAAGTAAAAGGTGTTCTAAACGTCTCAGGTCCTCGGATTCTAGGGCAAGGGGCTCTAATCCCCCTTTGCCAACATCCTGCCTTATCTCCTCTCTGAATTTCAGCTCCCGTGTCTGGGGCATAGGGACTCGGGGATGGGGTGGGTCTCGGCCCTGGGAGAAGAAAGAATTACCTTCCCTTACACCCGTGTCTGGGAGCCTCCCTGGAATGTCCAGAAACACGGGAAGCACAGGAAGCCTAAGCTCCAAAGCTGGGACCCTCCTGTTTTGGAACCTACTTCCTCTCAAACAAGCCTTAGGGGGGAAAATCCTTTCTAAGTAGCCCAACACAAGGCTCCAACTCACGACCCTGAGATCAAGACCTGAGCTGAAACCAAGTCAGAAGCTTGACTGACAGGCCGCCCAGGTGTCCCTCTTTGGAAAATTATCTTAGACTTTTTATCAAACTCTTCCAGCCCCAGGGCTCGCCTTGTTCTTCCACTCCTGCTCCCGTTCCTGACTCGCTATTTGAAACCTAGATCCAGGCGACACGTGAGGGCCAATTCCAACTCAGGAGCTCCCGGACGTCAGAACTGGATTTCATTTTACAGAGAAGGGGGCTGAGGACTAGAAAGATGAACTGAACCGCCAGAGTCCTCGAATGAGTTAATTAAGTAGCAGCAGGTGAGGCCAGAACTAAGGTTCCGTGTGTCCAGCTCGGAGATTTCACCAGGCTCTGCCCTTAGAAAGGGTTTTGTCTCGGAAGCAGGTTAGGGCGCGGCTCCGGATCCGTGGGGGACATGGATGTTTTGTGTCTCCTCTCTGTCATCTTCTGCCCCCACCACGTCCCACTTAATAGCCTTTCTTTTCTTTCCTCCAGTTTCTCTCCCTCCCCATCGTGACGCCTTCCTTGTCCCTTCTCTCAGCTCACCCTTCTCTCCTGGTCCTGTCTGCCTGCCTACTTGCCCTCTTTCTTGTCAGCCTCTCCGCGCTCTCCTCTCCTCATCCTTCTCCCCACCCCTCCCCCCTCACCTCTTCTTCTTTCTTTCTCTTCTAATTCCCAACAGCTCTGGTTCTCGTCCCCTGTGGAGATTTTTGAGACTGGGGTCCAGGAGGGAGGAGGACACTCAGGAGTGCACCCCTCCGCTCAGCCTCACTTTCCCCGTATCCTAGGAGACCGACTGAACACACTGCCCCGAGAACGCGACTTAGAACCCGGGTATTCTAGGTCTTGCCGCATCCTCTGGTGTTTGACGGCAGGATGGGAAGGACGGTCACAGCTGATGCAGGTGCAGCGAGGAAAGAAGGGACAAAGGATCGGGAGTGGGAGCAAGAGCAAGACGTAAGAAACAGGATGAAGCCTGAGAGGAAGAGAGTAGTTCTTGACTGTTCACTCCCAGAGGCGGGTGTAGAGATCCTCCAGGCTACAGAGAATTACCTCTATAATACAGACGAGAGAACAGAGACAAAAAATAAGGTCGAAAGTGGCCAGGGCCGCCGAGTAAGATTTGGTCCTCAACCTACAGGTGGCTTCTGTCACCTAGAGATGGACTCTGACAGGGCTGCCAATGGTGCCAAAGACATTACTGTGAAATTCAGGGTGTCTCGGGGCTCTGCGAGGGGCAAGAAGAGAATCATTTTGCCTTCCCTCTTGCTTCTGAGCAGGACTATTGCCTGACCTGTTCATAGAAAGAGGACAGAATGGCTCTGGTCATAGGTCATAGCCCTCAGAATGTTAGAGCTCAAAGACTCTTCCATAACTCATCTAACCCAGAGGTTCCTGGTTATATCACTATCCCTTAGGAGAGTGTCTCAAAATAGAGATTCCCGAGCCCCACCCCAAATCGACCAGATCAGAATTTGCAAGGATGGGGCTCAGGAATATTTATTGTTAAAAAGAAGCCCCCACACACAAGTAAGTCGGGAAACCCTGAATTCCTATCCCAGCTCAGGAAGCTGCTGTCCGGAGTCGCATAGCTAGTTAAAGGCAGAGTCCGGACTAGAAGCAGGTGCGCTTCCCGGCACAGCACCCGGGCATGCCAGCAAGCTGCCCTGGCCCATCGAGCAGGCTGAGAACAGGTACGGAACTCAAACCTGGGCTCTTTCTAAGGAAATCTCCTAACTCTATAGTTTCTATACTCTTCCTTGGGTCTTTGGTAATCCTCAACATTCTGTTAATTCATCTGTGCTAAAGCGTGGCTACTCCAATGCTCTCTCTTCCCTTACTAGGGTGGGGCTCGACTCTGAGGGGCAGCCCTGGGGGGCTAAGAGGTCCCCATATAAAGAGGTGACTGCCACAGCCAGGGAGGAAAACGGTAAATCAGAGGGGATGAGCTAGGGAGAACCGGGAGGTAGGAGTCTTGCAGACCTGTTATGGCTAAGGAGTCTGGGGTACGATTTAATCAGGGTGGATAAGCATGTGGGGGGCAGAGGCCGGCACCTAGGCAGGGCAGAGCTTGGAGCAGAGGCTGGTCGGAGGCCCCGGGCCCTTACCGTGGGCAGGAGAGCAGTCCTGTGTCTGTGAGCTCTGCGATGCCCTCTCCTGTGGGCGGAGGAAACCCAGCTGGATTCTTTGCTCCTCTCGCTCCGCTCCCCGCTCCGCTGCCTTCCTCCTCTTTTCTGCAGTTTACTGCTCTGACCGGCCGACTCGCAGCCGAAAGGAAGGAGTAGGGTGGGGAGAGGTGTGAGCTCTCTCCTGGGTCCGGCCCTTCCAACTCTTAAAGGCCCAGGACACAGGTCATCGCCAGGGGGTTTTGGGGGAGGGGTGGGTAGAAAAGGATTAAGGGAGGAGGAGCCTAGCCGCCCTTCATCTTGATGGCTGCCCTCCCTGACCCCAGTCCTGCAGCGGCTCTCAAAGTGAAACCCAAGGAGTGTCTGCGTGGCGGTGCTCCGTGAATCACGGCTTTTCAGTCCGCAGTTTCTCCCGGCATGTTGACCGGCTGTCTCTGCCCTTATTTCATCTGGCTCCTTTCCAGGGTGTCTGTTCCGCCGGTCTGCTGCTGTGTCTTTCAGGGCTCTCAGTCTAGCTCTGTGGCACAGGGAAAGGAAAAAAGAAATAGGGTGGGAAAGGAGGAAGATGAGGAGAAAGGGAGGAGAGGAGAAGAGTGGAAAGGGACAGGTTAATATCTCTGCCTATTTTGGGCCCTTGCTAAATATTGAAGGACTTGCACGCATAAACGCATCAAACAACTCATTTGTTCTTCCTTTACATTTATTCATTCTGCGAACATTTGTTCAGCACCTCCAATGTGCAAGGACATGGATGCGTGTTTATAAAGATGTGTGCAGAGATGGCACGAATTCGTATGTAAGAATCAAGGGCAAAAAAGTGGAGCACAAGATTGGAGAGACACCCACGGGGGAAAGAAAGGTAATGAGCTTCTTGCAAGGTGAATGAATAGGTGGCTGAAATAGAAACCAACACTGAGGAAGAGGGACCAATTTAGGAATTATAAAAGGCTTTACTAAAATGTGTTAAAAATTTTTTTAAATGTTTATTTATTTTTGAGAGAGAGACAGAGAAAGAGAGAGAGAGAGAGAGCAAGTGGGGAGAGGGTAGAGAGAGAAGGAGATACAGAATCCGACACAGGCTCCAGGCTCTGAGCTGTCAGCACAGAGCCCTACGCTCTAACCCACAAACCACAAGATCATGACCTGAGCCAAAGTCAGACACTTAACTGACTGAGCCACCCAGGCGCCCCTAAATTGTGCAAGGCTTTATTATGGCTCCATACCTCACACGGAGAGACTGAGGCCCAGAGAAGTCTAGGCAATGTCCTGGACTCACACGTCGGAGGCGGAGACAAACAGGCTCTGGCACTCTCCCAAGCACCGTGAGCTGGGACCTACTTCTGCTCTGCCTTGGAAAGGCTGTGGGGTATAGAGCTTTCTGGACCAGCGGATGGGAATCAGGCAGCTGAGGGCACAGGGCACAACCCAGGACTTAGACTTCTGGGGATCCTTTTCCAGGGAGGTGTGTTTTAATCATAGGCACAGAGGGAGCTAACTGTATGAAATGATGTGATTTTAAGTGTGCTGAGATATGGTTACCTCTCATGGCTCCCCCAAACACCCCTCAAGGACCTAAATTCTACCATTAGTGGTTATTTATAGCTAAACCTTTAGTCCCATTAAAATAAAATCCTCCTAAGTGATTACCATAAATGTCAGGATTGTGGTTACTTGTGGGAGGAAGGAGAGTTGTGACGGGACCATATTCATAGCTGGCTTCTGAAATGGTTGGCTGAGTTCTATTTTCTAGTCCTGGGAGCTAACAACGCTCTTCCCTTTATAACTTATTCAATGATACATTTGTTTTTCTTTTTTGAGAGAGAGAAAGAGTGCAAGTGAGAGAGGGGCAGAGAGAAAGAGGGAGAGAGAGAGAGAGAGAGAGAAGCAGGGCTTACCTGATACAGGGCTGGAGCTCACCCGATGTGGATTTGGAGATCACCTGATGTGGGACTCGAACTCAGAAACACTGAGATCATGACCTGAGCTCAAGTCAGATGCTTAGAACCTGAGTCACCTAGGCACCCTTTCTTTTTTTCTTTCTTTCTCTTTCTTTCTTTCTTTCTTTTTCTTTTTTCTCTCTCTCTCTTTCCTTCCTTCCTTCCTTCCTTCCTTCCTTCCTTCCTTCCTTCCTTCCTTCCTTCCTTCCTCCCTCCCTTCCTTCCTTGCTTCCTTCCTCTTTCTTTCTTTTAAAGTAATTTTATTATTTAAAACATTTCTGTTTATTTATTTTTGAGAGAGAGACAACATGATCAACAGAGGGGACAGAGAGAGAGAGAGAGAGGGAGACACAGAATATGAAGGAGGATCCAGGCTCTGAGCTGTCAGTGCAGAGCCTGACGCGGGGCTTGAACTCACAAACTAAGAGATCATGACCTGAGCTGAAGTCAGACGCTTAACTGACTGAGCCACTCAGGTGCCCCAGTAATTTTATTTTATTTTTTAATTATCTTTTAATGTTTTATTTATTTCTGAGAGAGAGAGAGAGAGAGAGACAGCTTGAGCAGGAGAGGGTCAGAAAGATTGGGAGACACAGAATCCGAAACAGACTCCAGGCTCTGAGCTGGCAGCACAGAGCCCGATGCGGGGCTGGAACCCACAAACCATGAAATTATGACCTGAGCTGAAGTCGGACACTTAACCAACTGAGCCACCCAGGCACCCCTTAAAGTAATGTCTACACCCAACGTGAGGCTCAAACTTGCAACCCTGAGATCAAGAGTCACATGCTCTACTGACTGAGCCAGCCAGGGACCCCTAACTATATACATTTTCTTTATGTAGTTTTCTATGTCTGTTACAATAAGAGGGTTTCCAGTTTTGGCAAGTGTTAATTTCTGACATTTTATTGTTTTCCCACAGTTTATAAGTTGTTTCCATATTCTTCAGAGAGCAGGTTTTTTGTTTTTGATTTTGAAAAATTTCTACATCCAATATGGGGCTTGAACTCAGGACCCTGAGATCAAGATTCACATGCTCTTCCAACAGAGCCAGCCTGGTGCCTCTGAGAGCAGATTTTGATAAAGGAAGAGGAGTATACAGGGTGGGGAGGCTGAGGACGGAGGCCAGAGGCTGTTCATGGGGAATAGACGATTAAGAGAGCACCACAACTTAAATGGTGCTGGCTTCAGCTTTTACTTAACAGAGCCCCTGTCTCATATGCTTGTCTTTCTCTCCCATTTCTACTCCCCTAACATCATCACATCCTTAGTTTTCCACACTTTTGTTTCACATTCCTCACTTCGTCTACACCCTTGGGTTATATGTGGTTTGCCTCTTTCTATTTGCCTCACCTACTTGCTGCCCAATTTCTTCCCTTCTTCCCTTGGTGAGGGGTATTATCATTCCTCCTGGATTTCCTAGGAGAGTTCAGATCTCAGATAGTCTTTTTCATACTAACATTCCCCAGATCATGTGCTCTCATTTTGGGGGCAGGCACATGGGAGACCATCACAAGGTTAGAACGGTCCAAACAGTGGCTTAGAAGACGTGTCCACGGCAGGATGCTCTATAGAGGGAGGGAGCGGACAGACAGGGCCCCGGTTCAGGAACTGTCCCTGTGATTTGGTCGTTCCTATGTCCATAATGATCCTGGCCCTTCCCCGCTGTTGTCTATTATTAACAGATCCAGAAACTTGATCATGGCAGCAGCAGCAGAGGGATTTTCTGGGAACCATGCCCAGGAAAGGCCCAGAAGCCCTAAATTGAAATGAAGGGGCAGCTGGCAAAGAGGGACACCTAAACACCGTCCTGTCCTGCTACCACACAATCAAATATAGACTCTTCTGATACACAGTGGAGAAGCCTTAAAATCTTGCTTCTTAGGACTAGAGTCAGTTCCCCAGTCTGTCCAGCCTAACTATTCAAACTTCGGAAATGAAGCCCATCTTCTTTGCGGTCAGAAACGCTTCTCAAAATATTAAATTCCACTTTAAAAATAATCAATAAGAGACCACTTATGGAATTAAAAGCCAGGATATGCAACTTCAAAAGCCAGAGAATATATAGCCATTTCTCTAAAAACAAAACAAAACAAAACAAAAAAACAAAATAAAACAAAAAAACAAAGGGGAAGGGAAACAAGGAAGTATAAAATGAACCAGAGGACAAGATGATGGAAGTTAGAACAAAAAATACAAATGGTATCTCCCTCTCTCTCTCCACCCCTCCCCTACTCTCTCTCAAAAATGAATAAACATTAAAAAAAAAAAAAAAAAGAGTGCCTAGGTGGCTCAGTTGGTTAAGCATCTTTGGCTCAGGTCATAATCTCATGGTTTGTGGGTTCAAGCCCTGTGTTGGGCTCTGTGCTGACAGCTCAGAGCCTGGAGCCTTCTTCCGATTCTGTGTCTCCCTCTCTCTCCGCCCTTCCCCTGCTCGCTCTGTCTCTCAAAAATGAATGTTAAAAAATTTTAGGGGCACCTGAGTGGCTCAGTCGGTTGGGTCTCCGGCTTTCGCTCAGGTCATGATCTCACGATTCGTGGGTTTGAGCCCCGCGTCGGGCTCTGTGCTGACAGTCAGCTCAGAGCTTGGAGCCTGTTTCAGATTCGATGTCTCCCTCTCTCTCTGACCCTCTCCTGCTCACGCTGTCTCTCTCTCTCTCTCTCAGAAATAAATAAAACATTAACAAAATTTTTTTAAAGTTAAAAAATTTTTTACAAAGTTTATTTATTTTGAGAGAGGCAGAGAGCACAAGTGGGGGAGGAGCAAAGAGAGGGAGAGAGAGAGAATCCCAAGCGTGCTCCACAGTCACTGCAGAGCTCAGCCTGGGGCTCAAACTCACAAACTGTGAGGTCATGACCCAAGCCAAAGTCAGGTGCTTAACCGACTGAGCCACCTAGGTGCCCCTTGTTTTCAATGTAAAGCTTCTGCGTATCTTTTGGTAGCCCTTCTCTACACCCACCATGGGGCTCAAACTCACAACCCTGAGATTAACAGTCCAAGCCCCATGTTGGGTGTAGAGATTACTCAAAAATTAATAAACTTAAAAAGTCACATGCTGTTCTGAGCCAGCCAGTCACCCCCATTATAAATATTTTTGAAATTCCAATTTTGTTATATTTAGAAATGCTTTTTTGTTTTTTGCATATTGACTTTGTATTCCAGGACCTTGCTAAATCCATTAAATTCTGAGTTTGGAGATTCTTTTGGGTTATCAATGTATACAGTGTGTTTCAGATACTTTTTTCCCTTTACTATCCTTTTATTTTCTTGGCTCAGCACAGAGGCTTGGGTGATGAGTAGACATCTTTGTCTTGATCACGTTATGGAAGAGGATTTCAGTACTTTTTCATTGAGAGGTTTACTGTAGAGTTTTTGTTGATACATTAGATTAAGAAGCCCTTCTATTTCTGGTTTTCAAAATTTGTTCTTCTTTTAATCAGAATAGGTATTGAATTTGATAGTATTCTTTTGTACATCTGTCTAGACAATTGTGTAGTTTTTCTTATTCAGTTGATTATGTGAATTGCATTGATTAGTTTTCAAGTGTTGAATCAATCTAGTAATTTTACAGTAAACCGAGATTAAGTATAGTGCATTATCATTTGTATATATTGCTAGACTTGATTTGCCGATTTCTTCCTGGGAATATTCCTTCCACATTTATAGAAGAGTTCAGCCCTTGATTTTCCTTTGGGATATCCTTGATAGATTTTGATGGCTTCAAAAGTGAATGGGGACCTGTTCCCTAATTCTATTGTCTCTGGAACTTTATGGAAGATTGGTGAGTGTGTTAAGATCTGAGTGATATCCTTTTCCCTTTTTTAAAAGCCAAAATGTGATTTTTTTTAATGTTTTGAGAGTGTGTGTGCATGAGTTGGGGAGGGGTAGAGAGAGGGAAAGAGAGAATCCCAAGCAGGCTCC